TACGAGGTTATTAACTTATGCTGGATCATATAGCTAATAAGTGGCAGGGCTGGAATTTGACTCTAGTACTTTCTGACCTCATAGTGCATTAAGGTCATGGAATTTCTCCAGGCCACTCTGAAGGGAAAGTGATCTTTCCCAGTTATTTTTATTGCTGTTTTTCAGCCATTAGGTAGTGATACAGTAGTCACTGGCATGCAAGTCGTTTTTATTTTTCCCCTCTCAATAGTTTTGGAGCTCTGCTTTCAAATCATTCTTAGACTACAAGAGCTAGGTAATATGTTCCCTAATTAAAATTAATACACTCCTTCCACCTCCTCGTATAATTCTGGTCAAGATTTACATTTCCAGAAAATAGAATTTGATTCATCACATGAATCAAATGTTTTCTAAGCAGTGAAGGAGAGGATATCGTGAAATCCTCACCAGAGCTGCATGCAATGAGGGAAAGAAGTTTCCTAAAAATAGTTGGGTACTGTTAACATAAAGGAGGGAGAGTGAATTGCCTGGTGGGCAAAAACAGGGTCATTGTACAAATAATGATGGCAATATGAGGATGCTTACTGGATAATGTGGTTATTTTAAATTTGGAGATATACCTACTTATTAATATTGATTATCTGGGCGTGAGGTTGGGAAAACAAAGCAAGGAAAAAGTTAAATGTGTAAAAATCATTTGGAAAAGAGGATGATAAGAAGGTACACATATTCATTGCATGTGCTTGTGATACAAACTAACCTAAATTTGTTTAAATTTTATGTCATAGCTAAGCATAGTAATCTGAATAAAGTACATTGAAAATGATACACGTTTAATGAGAAATTAGATTTTAGAAATTATATTTAGCAATGAAAGCTTATAAAGTAAGTGACTGGTTTAATCTCATCTATAATTTTTGCTCATAGCAAGTGTTAAAAGCTGAAGCCAATTTCTAGTTTAACTATTACAATTTGGTTACTCAATCCCCTCTCCTTTTCTCAGTAAGCCTTTATGTAGCTTCACGGAATTGGTTTGGCATCTGTTCTTATTTCATTTCCTGACTTGTTGGAAAACTGTAAGCTTTTGAGACCCTACAGTTTACAATTCAGAAGTGTTAGTGTTTAATATTTTTGCCTTCCCTCAGATTTTAAAGCCTAACCTGGAAACTCAGAAGGCACAATACTGAATCTTGTTCTCTGTGTTCTGCTGTGCATTTTTTTTTCTGTGCCAATAGTTGGCTCAGAATTGGTAACAGCAACATGTTTGGATCAGTCAAGAAAATAAGGGTCATGTTGGGTCAGGATTATGATTAGTACTTCCAAAAGGTATTCTGGCACAGTATTGTGAATGATAAATGAGAATTGCATATCTTTTGAGAAATAGAAAGTTTGGGTAAATTATGTCACGCTTTGCTAATAAAATTCAATGGCAAGAAAGGCATCATCAGGGAAATGGGACCTCACCACCTTTAATTCATCCCATAAACTTCTTTGTCTTTGATTTTCAGATAACTACTTTAGGAAATATACATCATAATTTCCTAATTGAGTAACCCTTGAAATACTGTTTTATGAAGTAAATATATTTGGTGCATAAGAACTTTAGATTTCTGACATTATCTGTAAGACATATGCTTCATTTTTGCATAAGATAAAGTTGAGTTGTAATTAAATAATTCATAGTTTCTAATAAAAATTATATTAGCATATTTTTTTGTCTCAGCTTAAAATGTGTAAGTTAAACTATGCAAATATAGGCTGTAGGGATCTCTACAAATAATATACTTGCAATATTTTAAATGGGTTGTTATTTTTAGGAAATGTTACGTCTTTAAAACTATAAATAATTTGAAATCCTGTATTGCAATATGAATATTTGTAATCCTATTAGAAATGAATATTTTAAAAAATAGACATGAATGTCCTTTACCCAGTGTCCAGTAAGGTTAGAGTGCTTTTTCTCCTCCTTCTTTATACTACTCAGTTTTTCATGTTTGGTAGAACAAACTGTAAAAAAATAGGTTGATGTCACACACATAAAGAGTAAAACTTTGAAATCTTTTTTCCAGGCAGCCATTTTTTAAAATTTATTTAGCATCACTTTTGCAGTAATAGAAAATTTTTTAAAAAATGTTAATTTCAAATTCAAAATACTTTTCAGTTGATTGTTTTTTAAATAATCTATATAATGAATAAGAAGCAGGGAAGCAGGTTGAAAGGATGATTTTCAAATCAGATTAAAATATCTTTCTTGGGCTTTTTCCACTCTGGAGAACCTGTTTTATTTCTTGAACATGTATTCATCTTTTTTCTCCTCTCACTTCTATAAATTTCTTATATATAAACCCATTTTTCTTCACTAAAAAACCAAAACAAATGAAATGTCTTTCTTGTGGTCAGAGAGATAGCACAATGGGTAGGGCACTTGCCTTTCACATGGCCAACCCAGGTTCAATATCTGGCACCCCATAATGTCCCCTGAGCCCTACCAGGAGTGATCCCTGAGCACAAAGCCAGGAGTAAGCCCTGACCATCACTGGATATGACCCACAAACAAAAGCCAAAAAAATATTTTTTTCTTTTAATGGAGATTCTATTTATAATCATAGTCCAAGAAATATTTAAACCAGCTCTATTGCAGCCAAAAGTTTTTAATTTTAGTTCCATAACAGAATTCACCTTGGTTTACCAACCTAGTCAATTTGAAAGCAAGAAGCACCAATTCTTCTTTTAGAAATAATTTAGAGGGAAACTGTGAACCTTTACTTATCTGGGCTTTCCTAAACCAAGAATTCCAGTTAACGTTTCTTCCTGTACCATACTTTTTCCCAAATAGAGTTGCTATGCCAGGCAGAAGTAAATTGTCCTGAGGTACCTCACAATTTGCTCTTTGAAAAGTTAGGGACAGCATTTTTCTTACTGTTTTTGTATTTTCTATGTTGTCGGGAAGAGTGCATTTATATAGAAACTTCATGATTAATTGTTGGAACACGGCCACTACCCATTTGTACGTCTGTGACATCTTTGATGCTGCTATGGCATAGTTGGGTAGTCGCAAGTGAATGACTTCCAAACACTGAAATATTTACCTTGTGACTCTTTCTGACCCCTTATAGATAATAAGTGCTTAAATTAATTTGTTGTTGCTTTCTTTCACATAATAGCAAGATGTTCTACCCACACTGTGTTAAGCTTATGGCTGTAAATTATAAGGAAATTTTCTAGAAGTGGATTTACTGGTTTCTGCATACTTTTAATTCTGTATGGAAGGTCACTTCCAGTTTTTGCTTAAACTTGTAAGTTGGTGGCAACAACTCTTTCATCATATTTTTGTCAATTTACTGCATTAGCAAGTTTTGATTTGCATGTCTATTTTTTAGATTTACTTGCTCCCAAATTTAAGAGCTATTTGTATTTTGGTGTGACTTCAGACCCTTTCAAGTTTCTTATCTGATACCTTCAAGCCTCTTACACCTATATAAAATACACAGTGAACATGTGTCAAAAATTCTAATGTGTGAACCAACTGGATATTAAAGCTGATGTAGAAGATGGATGTGTGAGACTGAAATATATAGATACTAAAATAATTTTCTTGTATGGCAAACAAACACATTTAAAAAAATCTTTTTTATTTTATAAAGTAGTTCACAGTGTTTGATTACATTTAATATTCAGACACAAATTCCGACCACCATTACACCTTCCCATCACCATATTTCGGATGTTTCCATCCTGAACCTCAGTCCCTATACCAAAGCAGAACTGAAATAATATATTTTGTATTTTTTGTTGTGAAAAGCCGATGAAAATGCTACAAATAAGTATCCTCAGAGGAAAGAGTGTGAAGATTGTTGTATTCCACCCAGGGGCCATTAAGCCCTTCTCTAAGTCTGTAAAAAAATTTTCTTCCCTCTAAGGTTGGTTGCCTCCTGCTTTGAATCCCATTAAGTGTGGTGCAGCACTCTTGGAGTATGGGTAGGGTGTGTCCTATGAGGAGGAATGTGGCCAAGGTCAGGAATAGGTTCACTCTTGGGTGATGCTCAACCTGAGTGTGTGGAGAATGGCTGTGAACTTGGTGGCAGTTGAGTTCTAGAGGTTTCGGCTGCCTTGGGGAGGGGAGGGCTCTCACCCGCCCCCATCTGGGGTGCCCTGAGTGAAACAGCCTGGTGCGGGGGCCCATGGCATGGTTATGGCGAACATCATGTTATGCTGCCTTCCGGGAAAGATGGACATATGATCTGGATGGTGGCTGATGAAGAGATTATCTGGCACCAGCCTGAGGTGGCTTGTGGGTGTGTCTGCTAAGTTGCAGGAGACATGGGAATAGGGGCAGATGATCTCTGTTCTTGGTCCTGTTGAATCCAGAGTTCTCAGTCACAAAGTCCTGCATACCTGGGTTTTCTGGGCATTCACTCATGGGTGAGGCTCGACCCAGGAGTGTGGAGAGTGGCCGAAGCACATACATTTCTAAAGCATATCTTTGTTACTATATGAATTTTGTTTTTGTAAGATAAAATTATTTTAACCTGTTGACCTTCTACAATAGCAGTTCTTAACTGTGCACCATATGACCACCCATGGGCCCCCAAGATATTCCAAGGACGCCACAAGTGAATATAGATGTTGGAAGAAGGCACAGGATTTCCTGGCTAACTGGCAGGACAAGGGGCCTTATGAAGGAAACAAGGTTGAAAGGAGGCCACAGTTGCACAAAGGTTAAGACACTGTCAGGCCATTAAGTTTGCAGAGTCTATGCCTTAGTCAATGGTAAATCAAAGTTTACTTCCCAGTTCCTCAAATGTGACTGCTAGGCAGACTTATTTTTGTTACTTTGGAAAGAAATGCTCGAATTTTTATGCCCTATTTCTGAGTTTCAGGTACATTTTTCGTAATACTATCCTCTATTGTAATTATTTCAAGTGGTAATATTTATGAATTAGTAATGAACTTCTGAGAGGGTTACATAGTACACCAGTTTCTTTTAAAACATACTCATTTGTTCCCTTTTTGCTTTGTAGGACCTACTCATTATACAATGACAAATGGAGGCAGCATTAACAGTTCTACACACTTACTGGATCTTTTGGATGAGCCAATTCCAGGTGTTGGTACCTATGATGATTTCCACACTATTGACTGGGTTAGAGAGAAATGTAAAGACAGAGAAAGGCACAGACGGGTAAGTATTTTGAAAACATAGTGTATATTTATTTGAATTAATAATATGCACATTTCAGAGAGCTGAAGGAAAAAGAGTGTAGGAATTGAGGCACTTGCCTGAACATGGCCAGCCTTGTTTGTTACCAAGCACTACACCATCAGGAGCGATTCATGACCACAGAGCCAGGAGTAAGCCCTGAGCATTATTGGTTGCATACTCTCAAACTCACACATCCCCACCTTACCGAATATATTTCTAGTAGTGCTCACAGGCTGTCAATGTATACTGTATTAAAGTACATTCAGGTAACTTTCTACATATTACATGTTTTTCCCTCTCTACATATGTATAATTTTTAGTTTATTTATGCTCCAGTCTTTCTGAGGATTTGATTTTTAATATAAAAGAAATGATAAAAAGAAAAGAGAGAAGCACAACATAGAAGCTGGTAGGAAGATCAAACCAAATTAAAAATATGAAGACATGTTTTTTGGCATTGTATAATGCAACAGCTGGTAGAAGAGAAAAAATTTACATAATTCTTAATAGTCAAAAAGATAAGTGTTCTGGAGATAGTTTCATGGAATTTGTCTCTTTCTGACTTGTGAATTCTTATAGAAATAAAATTGCAAATTCTCAGACACTTTTAAACTTTGGAATTCACTTGTGCCAATAACTGCTATGCTCATCTTTCATGTTGTGTATACATGTATATTGAACATGGGATCAGATTATTATTTATGAAAATTTAGTTGATATTCTTCAGTTAATATTTACCCTTAGAACATAAACATTGTATGGAATTGAAGAGATAGTACAGGAGGTAGGGTTCTTGCCTTGCACGTGGCTTAGTGTTCGGTCCCCAGCTTCCCACATGGTCCCTGAGCACTGTTAGGAATGATCCCTGAATGCAATGCCAGGAATAGGTCCTGAGCATCACTGGGTGTGGCTCTCCAACACCTCTTCCCTCCTCCCCCCATATTACAAATAGTATATTAAGGTACAAGTGTAAAATCATTGTTCTAATCCAGCAACTTGCAAGTTTGTTGTCTCTGATTCCCCTTAAAATTTAAATAATTATTGAGCATTTAATAAGGAGCTTTAGATTATGTAACTATGTAAGTTGATATTGACCATATAAGAGAAACTGAAAATAAATAAGTTCAACTCAAAGGATGGTGCTGGAGTGTTAGTACAGCAGGTAGGGAGGGCAACTTGCCTTACTTGTGGCTGACATGAGTTTGATCCCTGGCGTCTCCTCTGGTCTCACCTGTCACCCCTGAGAAGTGCTGAGTGTGGCCCCAAACAAGCTACTCAGATTGACTGTATAACAGTTCAGAGCCCAGAAGAGGGAATGTAGAGTTGTGTTGCTCAGCCCTGGAATTGGAGGCGACCAGAGTCACACTGAGTGGGGATTGGCGAGCCAGGCATACAATTCCAGGAATTGAACTCAGGACCTTGCACGTGCAAGACATGTGGTCTAGTCCTTTATGCTATCTCCCTCTGAGAGGGTGTGTGTGTGTGTGTGTGTGTGTGTGTGTCTGTGTGTTTTAAGTTTTTTGGGCCACAGTCAGAGACTCTTCAGGGCTTACTCTTGCCTCTACTCTCATGGTCACCCCTGACAGTGCTCAAGGAACCATATGGGATGCCAGTGATCAAACCTAAATCAGCTGTGTGCAAAGCAAACACCCTACTTTATTATTGCTTCTGCTCTCAAACTGAGTATCTTGATGGGCAGTGGCCAGACCCTGGACTTCCCAGCACTGTGTGGAGCACCCCACAAATAAAGAAAAGTAACAAACATTTTATGTTAGTGTAGCACTGTAGCACTGTCCTCCCATTGTTCATCCATCTGCTCGAGCGGGCACCAGTAACGTCTCCATCGTGGGACTTGTTACTAGTTTTGGCATATCAAATATACCACGGGGAGCTTGCCAGGCTCTGCTGTACGGGTGTGATACTCTCGGTAGCTTGCCGGGCTCTCCAAGAGGGATATGTTAACATAAACAATATTATATGAAAATTCGTAATATTTTTCAAGTTAAAAATAGACTGGTGAGGAAGTAATATTGTATGATATTTTTATAAATCTTATTATCTGATTTAATTGAAGACTACTATATTCTCATATTGGCTTCTGCAGTCAGTCTGTTAGGATACATTGTTTTACTTAAAATATGAAGAAAATTCAACTGCACATAGACATGTGGCTGGAAAAAGTTAGGAGCATATTAATAACCTTCTTGGGTCATTGTGGATATTCTTCTTTGACACTGCAAGGACTTTTTGTTTGTTTGTTTTTAACGCTGTTCCTGCTTGGTGCTTGTGGAGTGGGAAGTGGTTAACAGGTGGGGCAAGGATTAGGTTGGAGCTCCCGCTTGCAAAGCATATACATAAGCTCTTTGACCTATATCCCTGGCTCTGATAATGTTTCCTTAAAGATTAATTGTAATGAATGATCTGGAAATATATCAGTGAACTTTTTGTCATGTGTTAACTTAAAATCCATTGTTTCACTGTAAATTTTGAATAAATGAGTTTGTAATATTCAGTGTTTATCTGGAAAATATTGATTCACTGATTTATGCAGCTCCTTGAAATGTTGGTACCTGATTATATAAAGTCATTTTAGAGTATCAGTCACTTGTTAACATTGATTGAAAGATCATGAAGGCATGTGGTGTTCTTACAATGATGAATGCAGTTTTTCCAGAATTGTAATCCTAATTCTTACATCAAAGCTCAGGCTTTATCATTGGAAACATATCTATTTTACTTGAAATAACAGATTTGCTTGTAAGTTCATTTTTTAAGAACTACTTTTCAGATTTCCCAAGTTCGAAAACTATAATTTGCTGTCTTTCAAGTAAAAAATTTCATATAAATGTCAAGTTTATTTTGCAGTTCAAGTAACATAAATACTTTAAGACAGTTACCTCATTATTAATTGTACATCAGACAAAGTACATAAAGTATATGTACTTCTATGTCGTCATACATAATAATTTAAAAGACCCAATTATAAGGAGTTGGGGAGATGGTACAGTGGTTAGGGTATTTTTCTTGTATGTAGATGACCACATATGATGCCCTCACCCAACCAGATATGATCTCGGAGCACAGAGCCAGTAATAAATCCTAAACAATGCCACATGTGGCCCCCAAACCAAAACTAAAAACAAAACCAACCAACCAGACAAACAAAAAAAACAAAAAAACCTCACAGGACTTCTGCACATTAGCATTTTTATTGTTTTTAAAACACTTTTCCAAAAAAGCTTTACATCTCAATGCATATACCTTTTTCCCCTAAACTTTTTCTTGTATTATTGTAGCCCTTGTGGTCCAGATTATTTTGAAGCAAACTGGTATTTTATTTCAAATAGTAGTAAAAAGGTAAAGGTAAAGACCCTCCCATTGATCGTCGATTTGCTCGAGCGGGCCCAGTAATGTCCCCATTGGAGACTTTGTTGTTACTGTGTCTGGCATATCGAATACTCTCGGTAGCTTGCCGGGCTCTCGAGAGGGGCGGAGGAATCGAACTCGGATCGGCCATGTTGGCCGCTTGTAAGGCGAATGCCCTACCCGCTGTGCTATTTTATTATTTTGCAGTGTTGAAACCTTATTATTAATTTTTTGCTTGCTAGCTTGAATATATCTATAATGTGACTTTTCTCTATCAGTTATTTTGATTCCCTGAAGATTAGGTTATACGAAAAGGGGATAAAGTTTGAACTTATAGATTTTGAACTCATGGTTTTAAACATATTTTATTTTTTGATTGTCACAATTATCTTCATTGATGTATAAAATGTTAGTACTTTTTTTTTTTGCTTTTTGGGTCATACCCGGCCATCCATGCACAGGGGTTATTCCTGGCTCTGAACTCAGGAGTTTCTCCTGGCGGTGCGCAGGGGACCATATGGGATGCTGGGAATCGAACCCTGGTTGGCTGCATGCAAGGCAAACGCCCTACCCGCTGTGCTATCTCTTCAGCCCCTAAAATGTTAGTACATTTTAAACAGAGGGGACTTAATGTAAATTGATTCCGTATCCTTTGACAAGTTCTTAGAAGACTCTGAATTCTGGGAAAAGATATTGATGCTAGATCATTTTACACTTTGACTGACTGCGTCAAGCTGGGAGTCAGTTTTTCCAAGGAGTTGTGATTCCTTTGTAGAAAAATAGGCAGTTAAGGAATAAACATGTAATGCTTCTGGGTTGTCCCATTGTTTCTAGACTCTGGTGCTTATAGAAACATTCTAATCTAATGTAATACTTTTGTTCTTTTACTTAACCTCTAGTTCTTAGTCCTATGTTTCCTATGAGCCATGCCTAGTATCTCAACATCACAAATATCATTTGATTTGTCTCACAATGACACAAGCATTTCAGAATGTTTCTGAGACTATATCCAACAATATGCTTACACACACACACATAGGTACGACGCATGTATTCTGCTGTTGAACTATATCCCGGGCCCATTGTTTGTTTTCTTACAATACATTTTGCCCTTAATGTATTCCACCAGGATCGTACACATAAATTGCCTAACTTTATAGTCCATTTCCTTTCTAACCTGTTAGATTTTTCCTCATAACCTGTAAATCTTCATATTTCTTAACTTTTGTGCTTCATTCTTCCTTTATTGTTTTGTTTTGTTTTGGGGGCACTCCTAATGATTCTCAGGTGTTGCTCAGTGGTTACCTCTGACTCTGAACTCAGGGGTCATTCCTGGTGGTTCTTGCGGTACAATATGAGATACTGGGGATTGAACCTGAAATGCCCAGCCCCCCATCACTATCTCTTTATCCTTGATTCTTCCTTGTCTCACTCCAGGGACCAACATGATGAACTTAGGAATATTTGTATTTCATTAAGTAAATGATAGCATGTGATAAACAATTAGTCTCACCTTTTTTTCTTGACATAATCCTGTCTTAATTTATTCATTTTCCTTTTATTATTATTATTTTATTTTTTATTTTTATTAGTGGCATCTGCCGCCAATACAATCGTTCTTTTTCATTGCTATAGAACTTATCACTCTTCGGAGAAAGATATGATTTCCAGATTTTTTTTTGTTTTGTTTTTGTTTTACGCCACTCCTTGCTTAGGGCTTACTCCTGACTATGTGTTCAGGGATCACTTCTGTCAGGCTCAAGGTACCATATGGGGTTCTGGGGGTTAGACCTGGGTCAGCTCCATGCAAGGCAAGTGCCTTACCTACTGTACTGTATCTCTGGCCCCTAATTTCTAAATTTTTACTTAGTATTATGTTTTATAAAATAATTCAGTCATTCTTACTGCATAAATTGCAACTTGGTATTTAATACTATTTTTGAAAAAAATGGTCAACTTCAAAAAATGGTTAGTGTTTGTGTTTAGTTGCCTCATTCAATGTAGAATTTACCGAGTCTTTCTAATGGGGCTTTTGTGGCTCAAAATAGAACAGATACTTAAAATAGATCAGATCACTGAATTTCCCCTGAAGTCTTGTGGTACAGTTGAGCAGTGAAGCTTTTGGTTAAATGAGCTTTAAAAAGCACCAGTTTTAGCAGAAGAGAGAAGAGATTTGGACTAATTATAAATAGATTGAGAAGTGCATTCTACTAAGAGGCAAGACTTGCCACCTTGGATCTTAGTAGAATGTCATTTGGAAATTCAGAAGTTGCCTCCTGCTAGTCCTACTTCTGTCCTGTTCAGCAGAGGACATTTCAGCCTTATACAAGTGGTAAAAGAGCCTCTGGACCCTTCTAAATTGGAGCTCACCATATCTGCATATTTATAGGCCAACAAGTTTTGGTGACTTTTTTTTTTTTTTTGGCTTTTTGTGGTCACACCTGGCAATGATCAGGAGTTACTCCTGGCTCTGCACTCAGGAATCACTCCTGGCAGTGCTCGGGGAACCATATGGGATGCACATGCTCAAACCCGGGTCAGCGGTATGCAGGGCAAAGGCCCTATCCACTGTACTATTGCTCCGTTCCCAACCCTTTTTTTCAAGTGACTATTCTGCTTTTTGTTTATGGGATTACACCTGTATTCGATGATCTTACAGGGGTTTTGTTTGTGTTGGTGGAAGTATGTTCATAAGCAGTATTCAGTTAGCCTAGGGGCCAACAAGGTTTTGGGAGTTTGTCAGCCCTGCGGAGCTCATTTGTGAGGTAGTGTAGTCCAGCTGTAGGCATGACAGCAGTTGTTGAAGTGTGAGTACAGCTTCCAGGGCTTCAGCAGGCTGGGTACTTGTCTAACCACTCCCAAGAATACCCTGGAAGTCTCAGCCAGGGGACTGGTGTATCCAAGAAATTTTTGCAGCTAGTTGATCTCTTTTGAGATTGAATCAATCAATTTAATTTTGAGCCTCTAGTTCAGAGAAGATTTCAAAGGGAGTGGGTGAAAAGTCTTCTGATCGTCTGTTTTAAAGAGTATTTTAATCCCCTTAACTATTGAGTCCAAAGGAACAGGATAAGGCAGACATTTTAAGCCATAATGCCTTGCCTTTGTTAACGTAAAAGGTGTATACTAGCTCAATTTGATGCAATTAATAGTAGCTTAAGATAGACTTTATGTGGTTATCAGTTCCTTATTCTCAAATTTTCTGAAGTTCCTGTTAAAAATGTCGATCTATGTAAGCACATGTCATCTGGTTTTACAAGTACAGTGACTGATTCCGTGATTTTGCCCCTAAATCCTCTTGTTCCATGAACTTAGTTTAGAAAGTACTATCGTATGTAAAGTAAATAATGCAAATTATTAGATTCCAGAATTGTGGCTTCTATTCATAGTTTGAAAAATGAAGTATAAACATTTCTGATTTCAGATCAACAGCAAAAAGAAAGAATCAGCTTGGGAAATGACAAAAAGTTTGTATGATGCTTGGTCAGGATGGCTGGTAGTAACACTAACAGGATTGGCATCAGGTAAAGAAAAATTTTAATGCAATTCCCTTTTCATTAAAGGAACAATAAATACTTCTCATTTCCCTTAATTTTATTTCAGGTGCCATTGGATTTTCTTTCAGCAAATTCTTAAATATTATCAGGATATGGGAGGCATTGCTGCTGATTTAAGTGTTTTTTTAAAACAGGTTTAAGTTTAAGTTTAAGTTTAAGTTTAAGATTTAAGTTCAGGTGGATCTTTCTGGACCCCGTTTCCATATCTATAGCATTTGTGGTTTTGACTATATGATTGATAAATTATCTTTTAATGTTAATATAATAATAAATAATAAGTATTTTGATTACTACCTCTGCACTATTCTAAATGCTTTTTATTTCATAAGCCTCACAGTGATCCTATAACAGAATGCTCGTATTGTTGCCATTTTAAAAGTGAGGGTATTAAAGTATTGTAGCACTGTCATCCCATTGTTCATCAGTTTGCTCAAGTGGGCACCAGTAATGTCTCCATTGTGAGACTTGTTGTTACTGTTTTTGGAATATCAAATATGCCATAGGGAGCTTGCCAGGCTCTGCCATGCGGGCGGAATACTGTCAGTAGCTTGCTGGGCTCTCCGAGAGGGACGGAGGAATCAAACCTGGGTTGGCCATGTGCGAGACAAACGCCCTACCTGCTGTGCTATTGCTCCAGCCCATTAAAGTATTATATATACTTAAATTTTGACTTAGGTCATGTAGCTAATAAGTGGCCAAACTTTTAAAGTAATGATTTAAATAAAAGGAGTTTAATTTATAAGGCCGCATTTTTAGCTACCATGCTATAGCATGTCCAAAAGTCCCTCTGATGTGAGATTTTAAGGAAATAGCAGTTAAAGATCTGAAACAAATACTGAGAACTGTTTTTAATGACTTTCAGCTTCCATCATTAAAGGTTATGTCTGGAATAACATGAGGGGAAAATAGTTAATATTTGTGTGGAGGATAGAGGGAAGTACTGATTGGCATGCATGAATATTTTGAGATAGCTTTGTGACCCACTGATCTTTTTGATTAGATCTTTTTTGAGAAGGACCTAGGTAGTAACCATACATTTGAGGTGCTTATTTGGAGGGGCAAGGGGTTGTTTTGTTTTGTTTAGTCATACTAGGCAATGTTCATGGATTACTCCTGGTTCTGCACTCAGGAATTGTTCCTGGCAGTACTTGGGAGACTATATGGGATTTCAGGGATCTGGTTGAGTGCAAGGCAAACACCCTACCCACTTTATTATTACTTCAGCCCAACGGTATTTTGGGGGGGACGGGGGGAGTAAAATTATCAGTTATATTTAATTTAAAAACTGAAAATATGTCACAATAATTCATCAGTGCTTATGTTTCACTATTTTCTCATGAACATTGTTTTAATGATAATGAAGTCATTTGTGAATTTTTTAATTATCTTGCATATTGAAACATCTTAGTCAAAAACTCAGTTTTAAATAACCAGGTTTGTGAATCTTTTTCTAAGTAGCTGTTACAGATACTTTGATATCTTTTTAAATACTCCCTTTAAAAGTCACATTTAATTTGAATTCTGTGAATAGTTTTGATGTAAGGAATAAGTTTTATTATAAAGATAGACTGTTTTCAATTTTTAAAAGAAAATATTAAATTTATCGATAACTGTCCACTGTCCTCCAGTTGTTCATTGATTTGCTTGAGCACCCAGTAACATCTGGGCCCACTCGCAAGACTTGTTACTGTGTTTGGCATGTCAAATACGCCGCGGGGAGCTTGCCAGGCTCTTCCATGTGGGTGGGATACTCTGAGTAACTTGCCGGGCTCTCCGAGAGGGGCGGAAGAATCGAACTCAGGTCGGCAGGCTCAGCTGCGTGCAAGGCAAATGCCCTATCCACTGTGCTATTGCTCCAGCCCATTGATAACTAAGATTTAAAAATTAAATTTAATATTCTCTATGTGTGATCTTGCTTTTCCACCATGCTTTTTTGGGTCCCTTTTAACTTGGTAGCTCTTTTGGGGGGAGTTGGGAGATTTCAGCTTTTTAGCACAGCGGGTAGGGCGTTCGCCTTACAAGCAGCCAATATGGCCGACCCGAGTTCGATTCCTCCGCCCCTCTCGGAGAGCCCAGCAAGCTACCGAGAGTATTCGATATGCCAGACACAGTAACAACAAAGTCTCCAATGGAGACGTTACTGGGCCCGCTCGAGCAAATCGACGATCAATGGGAGGGCCTTTACCTTTACCTTTACCCCCCTTTTACAAAAAATAAAATAGAAGTAACAGTAATTAAAATGCAAAAGTAATTAATTGGTCAAACAAATATACACACGGAAGAATCCAGTAGGAATACTACCAGTTTTTAATCTCCTCTCCAGATCTGGCTACTGACAGAGTGGAGACTTTGGAGAAGCTTTCCAAGGAGTTACCCATCCCTGTAGACTCAATCTCTGCCATAGTCTACTCTCACCAGCAACTCCTGCATTTTTCAATGAAGGGGAAGGTCACACTCGCATAGCCACCCCCTTTATCTAATCTGGAGGGCCCTAAGCAGCCAGTATTAACCAGTCAGTCTGGGAGGATTTAGAAGCGTCCCTGGAAAAGCTTTCGGGAGTAGGGAGTAGGAAATCTTTTAACCATGGCAGTAAGGAGGTTTTCCACTGATGTGAATCTTGACAATACATGAATGGAAACTTTTGTTCTTTAATGGCTGGCAGTATTAGAGTAAAGATCCTGCACTTGCTTGATACTTCTTGACTTCCCAAATGGACTTTAAAGGAAACTCTGTCCAATGTATTTTTACAGGGGCATTGGCTGGATTAATAGACATTGCTGCTGATTGGATGACAGACCTAAAGGAGGGCATTTGCCTTAGTGCATTGTGGTATAATCATGAACAGTGTTGTTGGGGATCTAATGAAACGACATTTGAAGAGAGGGATAAATGTCCCCAGTGGAAAACATGGGCAGAATTAATCATAGGTCAAGCAGAGGTAAGTCTTATTTTGTCAAAAGATTAATTAGTAATTGATATTGTAAAAATAGTCTCTAATTCATTTAATTATAAAATTAATCTCAAACTAGATGATTGTAAGCATCCCATATTAAAGGGAAAAAAGACATAATAGGTTAGATGAATAATACAGAAATGCATTGAGTTAGGTGAGCTCTTTTGTTCACTGCATAGTCATATATGGTCATACTGACTGGTAGTACAGGATAACTTTTTTTTTTTTATGTAGGAGTACTGCTATTTATTCAGCCACTGATTAGCTGATTAAATTGGGCATGAACTCCATCTTACTTTTTTTTCATAATTTTATTTATTTTTTCTTCTTATATCTATTTACTGAATCACTCTGGGAAAAGTTACTAAGCTTTCAGGTTCAAGTCTTGGTGACACAATGATCAAACACCTCTCCCTTCACCAGTATTCATTTTTCACTACCAAGAACCCCAATATACCCCCCCTCCCACCCATCCCAATGCCTGTGAGGCAGATGATTTCCACTTAACTATTCTCTACATTGATTACATTCATTATTTTGACAAAAGATGCACCATTATTGTTTAGAATTTCCCCCCAGCAATCAGAATTGCTGAAAAGGCATTACAAAATAGTTTGTTTTCTATAGCTGGTTATGAGAATCATATAAGCTCACGTGGCCACAATAGTGGCCTCACGATTTTGGATTTCTGCAAAGAGCCAGATAATTACGAGATTGGTTTCTGTGTGTTTGGCGTTATGGCTGTGCCGGAGAGCTGCTCGTGGGGGCAACTTGTGACCTCGGTAGGGCGTGAAGGATGAGCCAGTACCGCCCCCCATCCCATGAGACTGCAGTTTCCCCATCACCGCTGGCCCATACCTGGCTTTCCAATAAGCTCTGAGGCGGCAGCCACCTTGCTGCTGGGGGGGAAAAGGCGGAATGGAGCAACACCCTTTCCCTCCCGGGGAGGCATGGCGCCATAGTTTAACGCATGGTCCATTCACTTTTCTGCTGCAAGCTGCCACCGGGCTCTGGATTAAGTCCTTTTGCCTCTGGAGCCATGGCGCGTGCCGGAGAGCCACTTGTGGGGGGCAACTCGTGACCTCGGTAGGGCGTGAAGGACGAGCTGGTACCACTCCCCTTCCCATGAGACTGCAGGTACCGCATCACCGCTGGCTCATACCTGGCTTTACAATAAGCTCTGAGGGAGTGGCTACCTTGTATGCGGTCCAGATGCATTTCTGTCAAAAGCTGCTGGGTTTCGAGATTTGTTTCTGAGTCTCTGGGATCATGGCCATTAAGCAGCTTGATCAGGAGCCAGAGAGGCCGTTTGTAGGCGGCGACTTGGGGTCTCGTTGGGATGGGGAGGAAAGGGCTGGTTCCACCCCCATCTGGTGAGGCCCCACATGTCTCGTCACTGCAGGCCCAAACCTGACTTTCCAGTGGCATCTAGAGGATGGTGGTCACTGGGCCTCCAGGGGGAATAGGCCAAAGCACGAAACCTATTCCCACCTGGAGTGGCCCAGCATCAGTAACCTACTGTAGGAACAGGATGCATTGTTGCCAAAAGTTTTTGGGTTCCAAGATACGTTTCTGAGTCTCTGGGATCCTGGCCATTAAGCAGTTCAATCAGGAACCAGAGAGGCCATGCCTCCAATTATATAGCTGAGCCGGAGGTGGTTTGTGGGTGTGTCTCCCACATACCTAACTCTTGGCCGTTTACTTTGCTCCAAGTTTTTGGGGTCTGGCACAGCAGCAATTTTGGGGTATCTGAAAGACTGACGGTGCTATCAGGCTGCTGATGCACTCGCCCCACAGGTACAAATTGACCTGTTGGCGGCATCATACCTCCAAGATAACACTTTTTAATTAGTTTTTAAATTTTACTTTTATAGGGACCACACCTGGTAGGCTATAGGCCCAGGGCCAGTCTTGATACTGCTGGGGTTGAAGGTGTGTGTGTTTGTGGGGAGGTGAGGGGGTGTTTGGTATAGTGTCAGGATGGAACTCAGGGCTTTGCACTCACGCTAGGCCCATGCAGGACTGGGGAGGTATCCAAAGGGCCTAAGCACTTGCTTCAATGCCAGGCATGGCCTGACCTAAGCACTGCTAGTTGTAACTTCTAGCACTGCTTGAGAGGACCAAAAGACAAAACCACAAAAAGGAATGAAACTAGGCATGTGCTCTAGGCAGTCAGCGATCTCCTGAAATATATATTATTATAAAAAGTAATTTCAATAATAATATAATAATAACATTGTATAATTTGTAGAAAGTGAGTATGAAGACAATTATTAAACCACTTGACATTGTACCATAATGATTAGAGAAAAATGAATTACAGATGTATGTATTAATGACACAATAGAATAAGTCTCTAACTTGAGATAAGTACCCCTCCCCTCCTTTTGGTCTTTGGGCTCTTTCTGGTGCTGCCCAGGACTACCCAAATTGTTGCTCTAGGGTCATTACAGTTCTGGAGCCTCCTGCATGCAAAGCAGGTGCTCTAGTTCATCAAGCTGTCTTTCTGACCCCCACCTTGGAGAAACCCTTAGATTTTTTATTTTTGACATTATAGTTTTCAAATGATTATTTGACTATTTTGATCTGTAAATCAAAATTTTAGCAGTTGAAATATTACGTATTTTTTTTAATTTATTTTTTTTGCTTTTTGAGTCATGCCCAGTGATGCACAGAGGTTACTCCTGGCTCTGCACTCAGGAATTACCCCTGGCGGTGCTCAGGGGACCATATGGGATGCTGGGAATCGAACCTGGGTTGGCTGCGTGCAAGGCAAACGCCCTACCCGCTGTGCTATTGCTCCAGCCCCTGAAATATTACATATTTTAAATAGGAAAATATCAATATGTTGCAAAACTTGTACATAACTGAAGTTTGGAATTGAAAGGATTATATATGCTGGTTAAGTGGCAGCATACTGTTTCTCTTTGGACTCTCAGTAGAATTGTAGCAGCATGAAATTGAGTGCAAATGCAATTTTGTTTTCACAAACTGTTCCAAAGTGGGGAAGGCAGAGGTTGAAATGTAGCTGTGATTCTTGACCACATGACATTTTGAGTCTGGAAAAAGGTAGAAAAATCACTGGATCGATTTAAGGCTCTTTAATATACATCTGAATCTGTTTTGGGATTCCATTATTTTATTCAAGTAAAACTTTTATTATGGAAGCTTTCAGGAACCTTTTACAAGTTTTACTCACATTTCTTTGTGGCAAACACTTGAATTAGAGATACACTTTAAATAAATTCATACTGTTTAACTATTTGCTTTTTTAGGGTCCTGGTTCTTACATCATGAACTACATAATGTACATCTTCTGGGCCTTGAGTTTTGCCTTTCTTGCCGTTTCTCTAGTAAAGGTGTTTGCTCCCTATGCCTGTGGCTCAGGAATTCCAGAGGTAAGACAACCCATATTCAGTATCATCAGATATTGAGTAATTCTTAATCATGCATACTTTTGCTTTCGGGCTGAAACAGTAATTTTTGTGAGGGAAGAGCTTTTTATAATATGAGAAAGAAATTTTTATTGATGCTGCATGATTTACAGTAATACTAATATTAACATTTTAGGCCTACAGTGTTACAGCACTACATCCACTGAATAAGAAAATTTTGAACATAAACACTGATTATAGATGAGAAGAAAAGAAATTGTTCCCATAATGAATTCATCATTTACTGTGGAGACTTTTTCCTCGCTGTTAATTTACACATGATTAAATAAACATCAGATTAAATAAGGCTCAGTTAATATCAGGATCCTGAAGAAGTGTCTAGTGGTCTAATGTTCTTGTTGGAGAATACAGTTAGGACTAAACATGATACTTCCTTCCCTTCTATATTTTCTCTCTTAAATAAATTATCAGCTTTTTCCACTTTTTTTTTTTTAAGTTTTTGGGCCAAACTGTCTGAAATCTCTGAGGGTGGCCATGGGGTGGCCCCTACGACTCTTTCCCCTGGCTACCCAGGTTCTGGGGGCCTGGGTTGCTCCCCAAGCCAGGGCGGCCTGGGTCATGGGGCCGGCGGCAGAGGAAGCGAGGGCCAAACCTGTTGATTGATCAGATGCTGTTTATTCCATTCTCATCCCCGTTCACTCCTGTCTCTCTCTCTCCTCTCTTGGCCCCTGATCCGGCACCCCTTTTCCTGGTGGCTCTGGCTCTGGATCCTCCAGCCCACTTTTACAGTCCAGTTAAATCCTAAAACCATGAGGGGTTGGGCTTACACATAGGTGTGGTCACAATCAATAGGGTTAAAGTTCTTTCCCTCAGGGGATGCTGCTTCTAAGACAGATTCTCTTTCAGCAGGACAACCCACCCAAGGGCAGAATCCCATGGGTGTGTTTCTCCTCTCCATGTCCAACTAACATATAAGCATTCATAATGTTAGTCATTTTGTATGGACACAGTAAGAGATGCATTTAGCTTATAGAATTGCTCTCCTGGGGTCATCTCGATCTCAGACTATAGTGCTCAGGCCAGATTAGTCTTTCCTGTCCCTAGCAGGGTCCTAGTCTTGTCGTTACTTGTGGATCATGACAGCATTTGTCCGTGATCAAGCTCTTAACTTACAGTTAAGAATTGTGGTAGTTTGGCCTGGCCCATTTTGATGACAGGATAGCTTACAGCTTGCCCTGGGTCCCTTGTCAGGACTCTGCCTTTTGGGTGCTAGGAACTGAGGACAACTGAGGCTTATGTTGAGAATGAATAATATTTGAAGCCAATTAAATCCCAAGTTACAAAAGAATAATATTAATTGTCTTCTTGTGTCTATCCAAAAGGACATTGCTTTAAAGTAAACTATTCAAAAGATACAAGGAGAGGAGAAAGGCAATATTAACTTACAATACAATTACTTACAGTGTCCTAGAAAGATCTTACCTTATAAATTAACAGAAACTGATTAGGGGAATAAGCTCTCTTCCCCAACCAGTTAATCGGTTGGGGAAGAGAGCTTATTCCCCTAATTAACCAGTTAATCGGTTGGGGAAGAGAGCATAGAGAAGTGGTTACAGAGAAACAGAAGAATGGGAGTGACTCCAGAGCGTTGGGAGGGGTATGACCTGATAAACCTAAACTCCTTATGGCAAGGGAGAAAGGACAAAGCAATGTCATCCTACACCAAACCCATCAATGTGCTGGGATTACTCCTTTCTCTGCACCCAGGAATCACTTCTGGCAGTGCTTGGGAGGACCATATGGATGCTGGGCCCCAAACCCCTGTCAGCCATGTGCAAGGCAAGAGTCCTGCTGTACTATTTGTTCAGCCTCTAGTTTTCTTTTAAGTTTATTTATTTATTTTTGCCTTTTGGGTCACACCCAGCAATGCTCAGGGGTCACTCCTGGCTCTGCACTCAGGAATTACTCCTGACGGTGCTTGGGAGACCATATGGGATGCCAGAGATCGAACCCAGGTCGGCCGTGTGCAAAGCAAACGCCCTACCCGCCATGCTATCGCTCCGGCCCCCTCTAGTTTTCTTTAAAACTAAATTATTGTGATTTTTGAATCTGGATAAAGTAGCTTTTTACATTAAAAATGTGTAATATTGCATAGTATATAGCATTTGATACTCATCTTTTGTTTGTATGAAAATAATATACTTAATTACAATACTCTAAAAAGGAATATCTTTATTTTTGACACAATGTGTGAAAGGTATGTATCATATTCTAATCAGAAATACTAAAATTTCCTTCTTATTAATCATGTTAACTTTCTTTTAATGTGGCCAGATATTTTAGTTTTATTCATGAGATAATATTTTTTGTCTTTGCTTGGGAAGAAAATTAGAGTATTATAGATTGTTTGGTACATAATAGCTAATGCTTTGAAAATTGTTAGTTGTTCCCTAATCTGCCAAATTGATAAGTAAAATAAGGCAATAATTTGTTCCATTTTATTAAGAAAATTATGCTGCCTTCATCTTTCCTTTGTAGATTAAAACCATTTTAAGTGGCTTCATCATCAGAGGTTACTTGGGAAAATGGACTTTAATGATTAAAACCATCACATTAGTACTGGCCGTGGCATCAGGTTTGAGTTTAGGAAAAGAAGGTCCTTTGGTACACGTTGCCTGTTGCTGTGGAAATATCTTTTCCTACCTCTTTCCAAAGTATAGCACAAATGAAGCTAAAAAAAGGGAGGTAAGTGCTTTTGTGGCTTTAATATGGGTATAGTCTCACTACAGTGTCCTGCTGTGAAGATCATATTTTATTTATTACTTATCATAAAATCTGTACTTAGATTAAAAATCTAGTGTGAGATTTTTTTGGTTGCTGTTGTTCCCCTTTGCTTTTTAAAGAAGTAATGTTTTTCTAGACTACATCTCAAGGCAACTCTGTCTTCTGTAGAAAGAGATGTTTAGATAGACGACCTGGGGTCCATTTGGTTTCAGTTGAGTTTCATGTAGTCCTTTCCATTTTTGCTTTGCTTTACAAACCTTTTCTTGAAATGTTTTCCAAATTATCGCTCCTTTTTTTCTCATTAGTATTTCTCCAAGAGGGATCTTTCAAGCCTTGCTTTACTCTGAAATAAAGTGTGTAAAGCCAGTGAGGGGCAGTTTGACTCACAGAGCTGTCTGGCACTGGGAGAGCTTGAAGAGTCTTCAGTGCCTATGTGGCACTAAATTTCCTTTACCACTGTTTTAGATCAACTTGTTCTTCTAGGAAACATTTAAATTATTATATATTATAGAGTAGTGCTGGGAAAACTGGGCAGCTACATGTGAAAAAATAATGAACTCAGATCTTTCTCTAATGCCATGCACAAAAGTCAGATCAAAATGAATGAAAGACCTCAGCATCAGACCTGAATCCATGAGGTACATGGAGGAAAACACAGGCAAAACTCTCCGTGACATTGAAGCTAAAGGCATCTTCAAAGATAAAACACCGCTGACCAAGCAAGAGGAAGCAAAACTATACAAATCTGGCTACATTAAACTTCTGCACCTCTAAAGAAATTGTGTCCAAGATACAGAGACAATCCACAGAATGGGAAAAATTATTTACCTATTACCCATCTGATCAGGGTGTTAATATCAAAGATACATAAGGCACTGATAGAACTTTACAAGAAAAAAAATCCAGCCTCATCAAAAAATAGGGAGAAGAAATGAATAGAAACTTCCTCAAAGAGGAAATTCAAATGGCCTAAGGCACATGGAAAAATGCTCTACATCGCTAATCATCAGGGAGATGCAAATCAAAACAACAATGAAATATCATCTCACACCGAAGACTGGCACACATCCAAAAGAACAGGAACAACCAGTGCTGGGATGAATGCAGGGAGAAAGGGACTCTCATTCATTATTGTTGGAAATGCTAACTAGCCCAGCCTTTTTGAAAAACAATATGGACATTCCTAAAAAAAGAAAGCTAGAAATTGTTCTTTTTTCTTTTTTTGATGTGTATTTTGGGTCACACCTGGCTGATGTTTGGGTTTTTTCTGGCTCTGCACTCAGGAATCACTCTTAGTGGTGCTCAAGGAATCATACGGGATGCTGGGGATCGAACCCTGGTCATCCTTGTGCAAGGCAAATGCCCTACCCACTGTACTATGATGCCTGCCCTTCAGTTCTATTCTTTACTTTCTTTCATACCCAGATATTATGTTTAGTTAATATATACACTGGTGATATATGACATTTATTATGTTGCTATTAGTGTATAAGTGACTAGAATTTACTTGTTAGTGCAAAAGATTAAGGTTTCAATTTGACTTTCTTCTTATGCCCAATTCTTTGACATATTTAAATTATTTGATTCTTAGATACTTATGAAACATAGAAGGATTAGAAGTATAGGTATATTAGCTTACTGTAATAATCTAGTAAATGTAGAATTACAGAATTCAGTCCACATCCATAAAAGTGATCAAAAACATTATGAGTTAAATTTGCTGTCAGTTCTCAAATAATCAGAGTAACATTCAAAAGTCAGAGGCAGTTTAACTAAAATAATTATTTGCTTATTCTTAATTTACATTTGTTTATGAAGTACTTTTTTGAGATTTAGATATTGTTGTAAACACCATTTTAAACTAATTTTTAAATTTTTATGTTATTGAAGAGAAAATTGAGACCCAGAGAGGTAAAGTTATTTGCTCCCAGGTAATAAGTGATATCCTAGCAGACTGACTGAGTGAACTTGACTAGTAACCATTTAGTTTTATTTTGGTTACATAATTTTTCTTTTGATGTAAAATTTGGTCATTTGAAGAAATGCTTTGGTTGCCTAAAGTATTTACTACATTTTGAAAGGAAAAAATACAATTAAGTGAGTGTAGATGACTTTATACCTATAGAAAATGGGCAATAGCCAAGTGATAACTTCAGGAGTAGGAAAGAAGATTCAGATAAGTGTTCATGTATTTTTCTTCTTCCTTTGGCTTTCTTTTGGGGCTGCTAGTTGGCAAGCCTGAATTAGAAAGAGCCATCATGTTTTCAGAAGAAAACTACATGGATAGTAGCAGAACCAAGTAAAGTTAAAAGAATTACCATTCCCTAGAAATTTCTCTTTGTGACTACAAAAATGACATGAATACTAGTAAAATTGTTAATATTTTCTAAGGATTTAAAATAGTGAAAATACAGGAAATTCAGGAAGTTTTAATTTTATGAGTATTTTTCTAGAATTTGAAATAGAGTAATTATTAATGATGGGGTAGTCAAGTCCAAAATTTTGGAAATTATATCCTCATTAAAACATCCTTGCAAACTCCGGTTACTACTCTATTGTCTTTATCAACATAAGTCTTGAGTTGTGTGACAGTTATCTGACAATTATTACCTCCTCCTTCTTGTCTCCTACTTACATTTTTGTATCTAGCAGACAGTTTTTGTTTTTCTTTTGGTCCACACCCAGTAGTGCTCAGGAACTATTCCAGGCTCTAAACTTGGGAGACCATGTGGTGCCAGTGATCAGGCCTCCCTGCCTGTTAAGTCCAAGAGCTATCTCTTCAGCACCCATGAATGGTTTTTGACCAAGTATTGAATATATAATCGACCTTTCTGTTGAATCAGAAAGCAAATGTTTTCTGAGAAATAAATGCTTGTCTTTGCTTGGGGAAAAGGGAAATTGAGTTTTGAAGAAAGTTTGGAAAATTTGAGTAATTTGAAATTTTAATTGCTATATTTGAATTTACAAGGAAATCTAAAATAAGCCACATTCTTTTTTTAGGTGCTATCAGCTGCCTCAGCTGCAGGTGTTTCTGTAGCTTTTGGTGCACCAATTGGAGGAGTTCTTTTTAGCCTGGAGGAGGTAGGTTAAAAAAAAAAATCTGGCAATTAGAATTATGTTTACTTATCATGATAATAGATTTTGGCATTCTTTTATATCTTTTAGCTAGTAGAGTAGACTCTTTTTAAATCTTAATATTTATTTTCATAGATTTTTTTACTTGTGCTTACATAAAAATAATATGCTGCATATGTTCCCTTGAGAAAATTCTTTTCAGACTCTTAGGATGTAGAAATACTAGTATTTAAAATTTAACTTTGTTGGCATATTGAAAAGGGAACATTTTTACCCAAAAGGAAATATTTGAATCTACCTCTGTCGACTAAATTATAGCCTGTGTAACCTGCGTTTTTATCTAAATTGTTTCCAGTTCCTGAATTGTCTTTTTAAGTTTTTCTTGTGGGATTATGATTTTTTATTTTGCAGTTATTGATGCTTAAGAAAATAATTTTAATCATCAGTCGATTTTTTTGTTTGTTTGGTTTTTTGGCCACACCCACCAAAGTTCAAGAGTTACCTGGCTCTTGTTGGTGCTTGGGGGACCATATGGGATTCTGGGATTTGAACCCAGGTAGGCTGTGTGCAAGGCAAACACGCTACTGTCTGTGCTATATTGTTCCAGCCCCATCATTGGAATATTTTGGTTTTTTATTAGTGGTTGAGAATCTATCCCACCCGTTAAAAAAATCATTTAATATTTTAATCTTTTTTTAAAATCCTAGTTTGCTTGTTCTTTTGCTTTTTTTTTTTTCTTTTTTTATTACCTACTCAGTGGTGTTCAGGGATTACTCTGGCTCTGAGGAATTACTCCTGTTGTTCCTGGTGGTACTCAGGAGAGCATATGGGATTCCTGGGCTGGAACCCAGATTGACCACATGCAAGGCAAGCGCCCTACCAGCCGTACTGTCTCTCCAGCTGCTGTGTATTTGTGTGTGTGTGGGTGTGTGTTGCTGTGTATTTGTGTGTGTGTCTGTGTATGTGTATGTTTTTAATGTGGAAAAGGCAAGTTAAGTGTTTTTTATTGACTAACAGAAGTTGGTGATGTAACATAGGACTGAAGATGAAACTTTTTAAAAATATATAATATTAGGTATTTCAAATGGTTATCAAGTATTTATGATTAGTTAATACTGTGAATTTTTTTTTTCTTTTCGGGTCACACCTGGCGATGCTCAGGGGTTATTCCTGGCTTTGCACTCAGTAATCACACCTGGCAGTGCTCAGGGGACCATATGGGATGCTGGGAATCAAACCTTGCATGCAAGGCAAACGCCGCTGTGCTGTCACTCCAGCCCCAGATACTGTGAATTTTTAATGGTGACAATACATTCGCTACAATAAAATCATTGCATATAAACTCTAACTGCTACAAATTTTAGAGCTATAATAACATTTGAGAGTATAATACCACTTGAGAGTATTCCGCCCCGCACAGCAGAGCCTGGCAAACTCCCCGTGGCATATTTGATGTGCCAAAAACATTAACAAGCCTCACAATAAAGATGTTACTGGTGCCCACTCGAGCAAATTGATGAACAGTGGGAGGACAGTGCTACAGAGCTAATACCGTTTGAGTTATAATTTGTCAAAAATTGGTTAAATGAATGAAACCATTAATTTTTTTCTTTTTTTTCAGGTTAGCTATTATTTTCCTCTTAAAACTTTATGGAGGTCATTTTTTGCCGCCTTAGTGGCTGCTTTTGTTTTGAGATCCATCAATCCATTCGGTAACAGCCGCTTGGTTCTTTTTTATGTGGAATATCATACACCATGGTACCTTTTTGAACTGTTTCCTTTTATTCTTCTCGGGGTGTTTGGAGGGCTTTGGGGAGCCTTTTTCATTAGGGCAAATATTGCCTGGTGTCGTCGGCGCAAATCCACCAAATTTGGAAAGTATCCTGTTCTTGAAGTCATTATCGTTGCAGCTATTACTGCTGTGATCGCCTTTCCTAACCCATATACGAGGCTCAACACCAGTGAACTCATTAAAGAGCTTTTTACAGACTGTGGTCCCCTGGAATCCTCTTCTCTTTGTGACTACAAAAATGACATGAATGCTAGTAAAATTGTCGATGATATTCCTGATCGTCCAGCAGGCCTCGGTGTATATTCAGCTATATGGCAGTTATGCTTAGCACTCATCTTTAAAATCATAATGACAGTATTCACTTTTGGTATCAAGGTAAGTACTGATGCGAGATGATTTTAAATATTTCTAAGCATGTTTGAAACATGTATGTAGAATAAGAAATGAGACTTTTAAAGAATGGTTTTGTGAGTGTAGGGTAAGGAAGTTCTTATCTTTTATGTTTAATTTTAAGCAGAGGCAGAAAGAATTCTAGGCTATGTTGTTGACTATGCTATGTGTTGCTGGATAGCAGATCCTCTCAGAACCTAGCCAACATAAGATGACTAGTGATTTTGTTCTGGGTATTAGGAAATAGTTTAGGAAGTAGCGCACTGGGCATTGTTTGTTTCTGGTTTCCCCTGTGGTTGTGGATGATATGTCAAGGGTGTCATCCCCCAAACACTCTTAGGGCTAGCACCTGTGCTGGAATACTGCAGACAACTGGGGCTGGAACATCTCCAGAACTTCTGTATTTCTTTCCCAGCATGTTGGCCTCAGGTTGTTAGATTTCTTTCTTACATGGTGGCTCAGGGTTCCAAAACAAGTATCCTGCAAATAACATCTATAACCTGCCAAAGCCAGGCAGCATGATTCTGTCACATTCTGTCTGTCTCCACTAGGGACCCCTTTTTGCCTGAGGAACTTTGATGCCACCCTGAATATGTAGTTTTATAAAAACAGGTATACAAATAACATATTCATTGATAATTATAAGTCATTTTAAAAAATTTCATTTATTTTGGCAGTCCCCATATTCAGTTATACAACTCTATCTGGGGTCACAGCCTACAGATTAAGAAGCTTGAGGCATACATTTCTACCCAAGTTCAGGGTGGCAATGGACCTCCACCCCACCTATTAGTTGGAAGCTTCAGAATATTTGTCATGAAGGTTTTAAAACCACTTGTATTAGTTTCCTGTTGCTGCTATAATATAAATTCAGTGTGAAAGCTTAAAAACTCCACCAAAATGTTATATTATTAAAATATTTTATATACCTAATGTATAGTTTTGTTATGTGTATATATATGTATGCATATATGTCTGTATATGTGTATATTAAAATGGTTCTGGAATTAGAAATCTGAAAGAGTTCTCATTAGGCTGAAATCAAGGTATTGATAGGAAGCTCAAGGAGTGCTTTTGTCATTTTCAGTCTTCTTAAGTCAGTGGTTTTCGACTTTTTCAAACCTGCAATTTCAGTTGATCAGGGGCTAAAAAACCACTGTTAATGAGTTTGCCTCCTTCTGTTTTAAAAGTCAGCAATGGTTGGTCTAATCCTTATTTTATCTTATTATTCTTTACTGTTCAAAATTCCTTTTCCACATTTAAAATACCCCTGTGTTTGCCTTGAACCCACCTAGATAATTCAGCATCATCTTTTGTTTTAAAGTCAGCTGACTAGCAACCTTTATTTTCTCTGAAACTTTAATTTCACCTTGCCTTGTATCATGATAGATTTCTAGGTTGTGAGGGTTAGGAAAATGGGTATTTGGGCATGCTGCTATGTCATTAGATGTTTGCTTGAAAGGATGCTGCAGACTCAGAAATTAGTAAGCCTTTGAACATCCTGCCTTTTCTCATCAAGGATATATGGCAGCTGGGTCATCTTTCTTGGAACCTTGAGTTGACAAAAGTTATAAATCGTGTGCAAACCATGCACACTAGCTCTTAATAATCTACTAGCAACTATATTTCTTTCATGTCTTAACTGTCAGTAACATATTTGGAAGCAGATGTGAGCTAATTGTTGGTTTTTAAATTATTACACTTGTACTTCGTATAATAGGGAATGTTTTTTACTTAGCAGTAGTATTCTTTCACATATGTAAATTGTATGGGCTACCAGTTTTGTTTCAAGGAAATTGGAGTAGTCGATGTGTGAAAATATAGTCTCTTAAACTGCCATCTTCCATGTTTAGTTCACTGCGTATCAAGAGTTAGATGGTAGAACAGCCTTGAAAGTTACTTTTATTTTTAAAAAGCAAACCAAAGAGCTTTTGCTGTACTGTTCTATACTAAGTTGGTTTTCTGTAAATCCTAACATTTTTGTTTTGTTTTTGGACCACATCTTACTCATGGCTCTGCACTCAGAAATTACTCCTGGTGGTGCTCAGGGGACCATATGGGATGCTGGGGATTGAACTCAGGTTAAAAGTGTGTAAGGCAAGCGCCTTACTCGCTGAGCTATCTCTCCGGCTCTGTAAATCCTAACATTTTTATTCTCAGTGAGCTTCAGGGACCCAGAGGCAGTTAGCAGTTCTTTAAGTTCCACAATACTCTAGTCTCTAGTACAGAACCTATTTCAATCTCTCTTATTGTTTTAATAGTCTTTAGTGTTTTGTTGTTTTTGTTGTTTGGGGGGCTGGTAGTACTTCAGAGCTACTACTAGCATGTTGCTTGGCAGTTGGTTAGCGCAGATCTTGGAGAACCATGGAGTGTCTGTGATTGAACCTGAACATCTACAGAAAAACTGTATACAAGCCCTTTGAGCTATCTCTCCTGCCTAGTCACTTTTCAGTAGTTTTTAAATGATCTTTCTTAAGATGTTTACTATCCTAGTATCGTCATTACATTTAACCAAAATTTAATAGGGGCTACTTCTGACAGCTCTATATAGGAGCTCCTCCTGGTTTGGCGTGAGGACCCCTTGGATCAAACCCAGCAGTGCCGGGGCACCACCAGAGCTCCACCTGCTGGTGACAGGGTGGGTGATTCATGTGGTGGCTGGAACTGAACTCAGGGCCTTCCAAGTGCTAGGCATATGCTTTGTCACCTGAGTTATCTCTCAGACCCTCCAATAAATAGTTTTAAAGCAATTTATATTTATATTCCACAGAAGACAGTGGCATCTGATAATTTTACCCACTTCATATTATGCCACGTAAGTGAAATGGCATCTCATTTCTTGTAGTGTGATTACTGGAAAGATTTATTTCAGACTGAGTTGATTCCATTTGTTTGTTTGTTTGTTGGTTGGTTTGGGTTTGTTTGGGCCTGGAGGTGCTCAGGACTTACTCCTGGCTGTGCACTCAGGGAATCACTGCTGGGCCAGGCTTGAGGGACCCTATTGGGTGCCAGGGATTGAACTTGGGTCATCTGCTTTTAAGACAAGTGCCCCAACCTATACTGTACTATCTCTTCAGTCCAAATGGATTCATATTTATGAAAAAATTCTTTTTTCCATTTCACCATGAAGCACTAAAAAATTGTTAAGAGATTGGCATTTAGGAACCCCGGGGTCATTTCTCATTTGATCTGGAGAATGTGGCTGTTACATTCTAATTGAATTCATAGAATTGTCGAGATGTTGTTATAATGATTTCTTTGCATTAGTTTTATTCTTATATAGGAATTTGCAATATAAATTAACTGTGAGAAAGAATCTCTAGAACAGAGGTTGCTAACACCCAAGTAGAAGATCTCTGCCTCAGTGAGAATTCTGCTGTTGCAGGTTCCATCTGGCTTGTTCATCCCCAGCATGGCCATTGGTGCGATTGCAGGCAGGATTGTGGGGATCGCCGTGGAGCAACTTGCCTACTATCACCACGACTGGTTCATCTTTAAGGAGTGGTGCGAGGTGGGGGCTGACTGCATTACACCTGGCCTTTACGCCATGGTTGGTGCTGCTGCGTGCCTAGGTAATGTAACTGTGCTCATCTGCATTGGGATGTTCTTGAGTGTGTGAAGTGTGTGTGTGTGTATGGTGGGGGGGGGGTGCAGGGTGAGGGAGGATAAGCTACAGGATTGCTGTAAGAGATGAAACAGCAATAAAATTGATGGGTAATATGAAGTACTTATTTTCATGTTACCTGTTCCTAAGAGTTTTTAGGTTAGGTTAGCATAAAAAATTCAGTGGCCATTACTGTCTTTTTTAGTATCACATAATACTTTGTGGCAGAAAATTTCTCAGTACAGGATAAGATTAACATTTAAATCCTGTCCAAGATGTTTTCTTTTTTACTTTTTAAGGCTATTCAGTCACCTTAATAATTCAAGTGTGGCTTTAGGGTTAGCATTCTAACAAGCTTTCAGGGGAGGGGTTTGGATTGGAGGTGTGGCTCAGTGGCAGCTCTCTGGGTACAGTCCCTAGCACCTCATAACAACAACAATAACTTTGATTTGGATTCTTTAATCCAAAGGGATTTTTAATTAGGTTTAGTAAAAGATTACCAGTTCTCCTCCATCAAAGAACAACTTATAGGGTACACTCTCCTTCTCCTCCCCCCTTCCCCTCTCTCTCTCTCTCTCTCTCTCTCTCTGTCTCTTTCTCTCTCTCTCTCTCACACACACACACTCTCTCTCATAATATTTCCTTATGTAAAACTATTCTAATTCACCTAAAACAACAAAGATATTTGTAGAAAATGATAAAAAATAAAAACTAGTGAAAGAAAAGCAGAATGACTATATTTGCTATTTACAATTCCATTTATTGATTGGGGGGGCATAAAATAGTTATTTCCTTTTTGTTTAAAATCTCAGCTAAAATAGAAGAAAGAAAAAATGGGGAAAATTCAGACTTCGCTTTATTGTATTTTTGTTAATAGACTTTCCCCAGTGGGTCAGAATTATGTAACTACTGTTTTAAAAAGTGTAGTAAGTAACAAATGACAGTAAAAGACAGAATCATTTTCACCAAAACAAGTATTGAAGTGTTCACTTTCTGTCTAGCACTATGTTACATGTAAGGAGTGATAAAGAAGTAGGTGCACTACTTAATGATTTCACACAGTATTGAAAAAAATCTGTGAAAATTGTTAGGAAGCTATTGCTAGGAAGAAGTACTGAAGTCCTCAGGAAGTCCAAAACATGGGTTTTATTTTTAAAAAATAGTGAAATTTATAGGAGAGAACTTTGTTACAAAAAGTATATGAAGACAAAGGAATTTGGATAGGAATGCATTTAGTATTCATGAATCTTTGAGGAAACTGAAAGTGAAGTAGAGCATAATTTTTGAACACTTTTGGGAAGCAGAGTTTAGTTCAAGAGAAGACAGGTTTGATACCACAATAAATTATGTCAGGATGGATTTGGATTTTGGATTTGTTTAGATCTGTGGTAGAGTTCTTCCTTTGCTATTTTTAGTTTGATCACTTTGGGAGGGTTCTTTTAGTACTTTGATTTTTTATTCTCATCTTTAAATAGGAATAATAATCTCCTACAATTGTTTTGAGAATTATGTGAGATAAAATGCATGTAAAGCTGTTAGCCTAGTGCCTAGTGAAATAAGCTTTTAGTTTACAAATAGAAACAGCCTCAATACACTGACTTGAACATGCCTGGCATAGAGTAGATATGCAATATAGCACTGCACTGTAGCACTGTCCTCCCGTTGTTCATTGATTTGTTTGAGCGGGCCCAGTAACGTCTCTATTGTGAGACTTGTTACTGTGTTTGGCATATTGAATACGCCACGGGTAGCTTGCCAGGCTTTGCCGTGTGGGCAAGATACTTTTGGTAGCTTGCGAGAGGGGCGAAGGAATCAAACCTGGGTCAGCCGGGCCAGCCGCGTGCAAGGCAAATGCCCTACCTCTGTGCTATTGCTCCAGCCACACAGAGTACTTTATTTAAAAATTTTCTTCGTGTTGCTGGGAATTGAATACCTCACACTTGAGAGGCATTCTGCCAGTAAGAAACTGAAACACAATTAGTCTTTCACCTAAGTAGAGATGCATCTTGAGATTAAAACACAAATCTCTAGACAATGAAAAGCAGTACCTGCGTCTAACATTCATTTTTTAATTGCACTGCACTGCACTGTCTTCCTGTTGTTCATTGATTTGCTCGAGCGGGCCCAGTAACGTCTCCATTGTGAGACTTGTTGTAACTGTGTTTAGCATATCGAATATGTCACAGGGAGCTTGCCGGGCTTTGCCAGGCTTTGCCGTGCGGGCGAAATACTCTCAGTAGCTTGCTGGGCTCTCTGAGAGGGGCGGAGGAACCGAACCCAGCTTGGCCGGGCAGGCGGCTTGCAAGGCAAACGCCCTACCGCTGTACTGTAATAATATTAAACTATAACAAATGAAGTGCATATAACTCAATTTCTAATCACAATTTTTAAAGTAACAAATTAAAGAGGAATTTTAAAAAAACAAAGTAATTAAAGTGGGATTTCACCATTAATTCCTTTATCTTAAAAGCTATTAAAGAAGATTTCACTTTATAATATAATATAATATATATATATCACTGTCTCTGTCCTCCCATTGTTCATTGATTTGCTCAAGCGGGCCCAGTAACATTGTGAGACTTGTTACTGTGTTTGGCATATGGAATACGTCATGGGTAGCTTGCCAGGCTTTGCCGTGTGGGCGAGATACTCTCGCTAGCTTGCCAGGCTCTCAGAGAGGAGCGGAGGAATCGAACTCGGGTTGGCCATGTTGGCTGCATGCAAGGCCAAATGCCCTACCACTGTGCTATCGCTCCAGCCCATATAATATATAATAATATATAATATAATATTATAATAAGATATGCAATATACAGTAGGTTATTTCTTCCTTTTATTTTTAGGTTAAGGAAGCATTTAAGCTTAACACAGTATGAATTGGCAAGCCCTAGTAGGTTTTTGAGCAAAGAAGCAACATGGTGAAAGTAGTACTTAGGAAAGCTTAACCTGGGAGCATGACTTATAAAGTGCATTGATGGTAATGGGGCCTGGAGTCAAGGAGGTAAGATAAAATAGCATAAAAATTAAGGAACAAAGTCTAAAGGGCCTGGATTAGGTGGTAATAAATGTTAAGAAAGGGACCTTGAGATAGGTAATTTATAGAACAAGTCAGATAGGACTAAGGTCCTCTAGATGTTGGGACAAGTTAAGTGTTGAACCAAATCAAGTATATATTTCATTCTTCTTGAGAGCCTAGATATTTGTCTTGGTTGATTGAAGTATATATTGAAGTCAGGGAAGGAGGAATGGGGAGTTTTGGGGGAGGAAGAAGAGTTTGGTTTTAAGTGTGTGGTGTTTCTTGTGACTGTGGGTTATTAAGCAAAATAGAAAAAAATGAAACAAGACAACAAAAAGATTAGAGTATGTGTAGTTGGAGACTTGGGACAGATGCAACAGTAAGGTCTTGAGAAGCAGATTGGAAAGACAGTACAGAGATGATAACTCAAGATGATTTGGATAAATGAATAGGTGTAATTTCTAAGGGATGGGGAACTTACACTGTAAACACAAATAACAGGACACCAAACTAGTTTACTCATTTTGAAAAAAAAATTCAAATGAGAAATATATTTAATATTTTATCCATATAATTTAGTTTGTAAACTCATAGTAAATAAGATAGTCATAGTAAATACTTTTTACTACATTTGTACTAAGCTTTTTAGTTAGCCAGCCATGATTTTTTTTTGGTTTTTTTTTTGGTTTTGACCACACCTGGCAGTGCTAAGGGATTACTTCTGGCTCTGCACTTAGGAATCATAACTGGTAGTGCTTGGATGACCATATAGGATGTGAGGGTTTGAACTCAGGTCACCTGCATGCAAAGTGAATGCCCTACCCACTGTACTATCACTCCAGCCTCCAGCCATGATTTTTTAAAATATGAAGTATATAGATTTTGAATATTTTAATTATCTTTTGTTTTAAATAGCATCTCTCTGCATCTTATTAAAGTGGTGATAAATTTCTTGAGAGGGTTAGTGGTTTTGTTTGTTTGGTTTGGTATATAGGCCAGATCCAGCAGTGCTCAGGACTTATTCCTGGCTCTTTGCTCAGGGATCACACCTGGTGGGCTCAAGGAAACATATGGGGTGCTGAGGATCGAATCTGGGTTGGCTGCATGCAAGGCAGCTCTCCCATCCACTACATTACCTCTGTGGCTCCAAGGATTAGTAATTTTATGTCATAATGATTTTCCTTAAGTTCTGTTTACATTTTTGTGTTCAGCTGTCTAGTGGAAAAAATTCTACTAATATATGTATTATCAGTGCAGACCAGTCCTTCCTGATCTGTGGTGCTTATTTTTTTTTCAGGTGGTGTGACAAGAATGACTGTCTCCCTGGTAGTCATTGTTTTTGAGCTTACTGGAGGATTGGAATATATTGTTCCCCTTATGGCTGCTGTAATGACCAGTAAATGGGTCGGAGATGCCTTTGGTAGGGAAGGCATTTATGAAGCACACATCCGGTTAAATGGATACCCATTTTTGGACGCAAAAGAAGAATTTACACATACTACCCTCGCTGCTGATGTCATGAGACCTCGAAGGAACGATCCTCCTTTAGCTGTCTTGACACAAGACAACATGACAGTGGATGATATAGAAAACATGATTAATGAAACCAGCTATAATGGCTTTCCTGTTATAATGTCAAAAGAGTCTCAGAGATTAGTGGGGTTTGCCCTCAGAAGAGACCTGACAATTGCAATAGGTATTTCTTTTTGAAAAATGCACACATGTGCATATATGTCTTTTCATGTGTATTGGTATCTAGATATTTATTTTTGCAAATTACCAATTTTGTTTTCTGATTTGATGTTGTAATTTATTAGAGAAAAGAGTCTGATTCTTTTTTCCACTCAGATAAGCCTCATGAAGTTGATATTAGTTATAATAGCATGTAATTTGAGTCTTATCAAGTGCTGGGCAGTTACTAACTGCAATCTTTTTTGTTTTGTTTTGTTTCATTTTTGGGCCACACACAGTGGTGCTCAGGGGATACTTCCATCACATTGCACGGGGGTCACTCCCAGTGTTGTTTGGGGGCGACCATATGGTGCCCAGGATTGAACCTAGGCCTCCAGGTGCAGACCACATACAGTGGCTCTTGACTTCTCTTCCTTTCCTGATACATTCAGGAAATTTTACAATGGAGTTGATTATTTGTGTGTTAGTTACTGAAAACTCCACCATTTCAGTCCCTTTCATATCAAATTCACTGGGTTTTTCTTTTTTCAAACCTTGGATTTAAACTTATTAACTTGCAATATCTAGTTACATGAAAGTATCTAAAATGAAAAAGTCACTGAGGTTTCCAGTCAAATGGAAAAATATATTTCCGGTCTAATGACAACATTACTCAAACTATTTAGGCATTATTCATGCTTTAATATTTATCTGAAATAAGTTAAACTTTTGTTTATTGGGGAGGTGGGGTTTGGGTCACACCTTGGTCACACACAGAGCTCAGGCTCTGCACTCAGGAATTACTTCTGGCAGTGCTTGGGGGACCATATGAGATGCCGGGGATTGAACCTGGCTTGGTTGCATGCATACAAGGCAAACACCCTGCCTGCTGTGCCCCAAGTTAAACTTTTCTGAGGAAGGAACTTGGTCCTCCAGCTCCAGGCATTAAGTAACGTTATGCACAGGCTGACTTCATTTGGTGATGGATTTCTTTAAAAATAATATGCTCAGTTTCTACAGGATTTAAAATCTTGTATTCCAAATCTACTTCCTTGGCCTTCAAAAGTAGAAAACAGCTTCAACCCCAGCAAAGAAGTGTATTATATAATTAAACCAAAAATTTTTTATTTACATGAAAATTTATTTTTAGTAGATTTGAATTCTGTCATTATAACAAGTAACTAATTTGCTTAATGACTTTGTTCACTTACTGGTTAAAAGGGGGCAGGGAGTGAAGGAACCAAAAGTTGTAGGTTATATTTGTCACTGCACTGCACCGTCCTCCCGTTGTTCATTGATTTGCTCGAGCGGGCCTAGTAACGTCTCCATTGTGAGACTTGTTGTTACTGTGTTTGGCATATTGAATACGTCATGGGGAGCTTGCCAGGCTTTGCCATGTAGGCGAGATACTCTCGCTAGCTTGCCAGGCTCTCCAAGAGGGGTGGAGGAATCAAATCTGGGCCAACTGGGTTGTCCGCGTGCAAGGCAAATGCCCTACCTGTTGTGCTATTGCTCCAGCCCAGGATATATCTAATTTTTTAAATGTTTCTTGAATGGGGTCTGAGAGAGAGAGTTCTGTGGTTAAGATAGTTGTTTTGTTCTACCCACCCAAAATCTCTTTAATCACTATCACTGTCATTCTGTTGTTCATCAGTTTTCTCGAGCAGGCACCAGTAACGTCTCCATTCGTCCTAGCCCTGAGATTTTAGTAAGTGCCACATTGGAAGCTCCTTCAGGGTCAGGGGAATGAGACCATCATTGTTACTGGGTTTTGGCATATCGAATACACCACGGGGACCTTGCCAGACTCGGCTGTGTGGGCAGGATACACTCGGTAGCCTGTTGTGTTCTCCAAGAGTGAGAACTAGATAATAAGAGGTTGCACGCTTCTGGGAGCTGGGTTTTATAATCCTTGGGTCTTGGCTGTTGATGGGATAACACAGGCGCCAGGGACATTTGGTGGGTGTAACGCCTAGCTACTGGAAGATTTGGGATCTGGGTGGAGGAGGCCCAGTCCCGATTAGAGCAGGTTTGGAGATCTCTTTAATAATTAAACATATAGGCTCAAGAGATAGTAAAGTGGCTAAAGCATTTGCCTTGCATGTGACTGACCCAAGTTCAACCCCCAACATCACATATGGTTCCTGGAACCCACCAGGAATGGCCCTGGTACCATTATGTGTGGCCTAAAAACCAAAGAAAAATATTGAGCAGCTCTGTTTTTTTAAAACAAAACAAAAATCAAGCAAAAGTTCTCCGTTTTTTAATTTTGATTTTTATCTCTTTTCAGAAAGTGCCAGAAAAAAACAAGAAGGTATTGTGGGCAGTTCACGTGTGTGTTTTGCACAACACACCCCGTCTCTTCCAGCAGAAAGCCCTCGACCCTTGAAGCTTCGAAGTATTCTTGACATGAGCCCTTTCACAGTGACAGATCACACCCCCATGGAGATTGTGGTGGATATTTTCCGAAAGCTGGGTCTGAGGCAGTGCCTTGTAACTCACAATGGGTAAGTTTGGCCGAAGCAATCAGTTCATGTATTAAACCGTCTGGTCCTTTTAGTGGAGTCTGTATGTATTGTTAGGCAAAGAGTAAGACCTCTCCCAAGTGGGGCAAGTCTGCGTTCAGTGCAATTAACTTAAGGATCTGTTAGGCTCACATTTAACAGAAAAGACTTTAAAGTTGCTAAGAGGCTTATCTCCATCATATACATTGAACTTAGATATTTTTTCCCCTTTCTTAGAGGAAAAGTACTTCTTTTTTCATGGAGTACTGTATAAGTACTTTTTTTTGATGGAGGACTGCATAAGTACTTTTCTTCTTTTAAGTCCACCATTTTAAGAATATGCTTTGAATACATTAACTTCTTTGATATTTTTCTATGTAGTGTTTTGTGAAGAATATGATAATATAATTAAAACGAATTGGTATTTAGTTAAATACTACCTTTGCCAAATCTTTGTTTCCCACTTTTCTGCCTTCTCCATACACAAAGATTTTTACATAAACCACTCATGGGAAGTAAACATTCATATATTTTAAGTGTGTAAATTGATTAATCAATCTCTTCTTCTACCTTTTACACACAAATTACCAGTATTTATTCAGGAGAGAAATAGAGAAAAGTTTTGTCTGTCAGTTGTTAATGGGATTTTGGAGATAGAATGCCACAATACACAAGACAGGGCCTGGGTATTTACCTTGCACAAGGCCAACCTGGGTTCAATCTCCACACCCTATCTGGTCCCCTGAGCACTGCCAGGAGTAACTCATGATTGCAGAGCTAGGAGTAACCCCTGAGCATTGCCTGAGCATCACCTGAGCATCGCCTGAGCATCGCCACGTGTGCACCCCTCTCCCCCACCAACCCTCTTTAAAAACCAAAACCGAACAAAAATCCACAAGACAGCACTTTCCAGCAAACCAACTTGGATTTGATTACCACTGCTCTCCCCTCTTCTGGGACCTGGGATCTGTTTTCCTTCTATCTGTCTTTAGTCCTCTTTATTTCCATGATACTATATTCCTAGGAAAGTACTTAGGAACTTTGCTGAGGACAGCAAAAACAAGGAGCAGAGGGTGTTCTTGGAGTCTGTAAACTGGATAATTAATGCTGTCTGTCCTGAAGCAGGCCTAAATACTAAACACATAGAGAATCACAGAAAGAGGGTGGGGGGGGGAATTCTTTAAAAACTAACAGAGTTTGGATAAAGCATAATTTGGATGACAAAAACACATAAACTCTGTCTAGAGGAGGAAAAACAACAAAAGTGAAGCAATTTGCTTAATGAGCACTTTATGTTTCTCGTTCAACTTTGCAGTACCTCAGCAGTGCCTGGTAAGAGCCCTACTCTGCTGGAGTAATTGAAGTTCAGAGAGTTCGAAAAGTTCCCACTTATGTGGTTAGCTTAGGTATAGATTGTGAATCAGATATCTTCCCAAATTCTTAAGCTCAATCTCTTGCTGTTGTTGCACACTGAAATTGTCTGATCAACTTTTTCTTCTTTTTCTTTTCTTTAATCTACGAACTCTTTGGGGGAGTCCATTCGATTGTATTGTTGGGAATAGAAATGTAAAGTTAGGCTGAGGACCCAGACCCTATTAAAGTAACCATAGGGAAAGAAGTGTCAGAAAGAAAGCTCTTGATTACAGGCAGGAATTTGGATACAAAATAGGATAAAAGATTTTTTTAGTAAAATAACTTTCATTTAATGTCTGTTGCTTAAAAAATAATGGCACCACTTAATTGTTTACTTAGTACTTAATAAGTGAAATAACTTTTCATAAAACCTTATTGATTCTCAGATCCTTTTAATTAGACATGGCTTGATAGGGAACTAAGTTGAGTTACAAGCTTTTACTTGCATTGAATTGTTCTCAGTGACTGGTGTTGATTTACACTTGTATTTACATATTTACAATTTATATATGTCATTCTCTAGTTATTATGAACTACAGTCACACAGTATATGGGTTGATTTTCAGACTTGGAATTGATTCCGAAGCTGTGGCAGCACAGACATTAGAAAGAAAAATACTTAATAGATCTTAAAAGAAGTGAAATGATGGTGCAGAGGAGGGAACAAAACTAATTAAAATTTTAACTGATACTGCCTGTTTATAGAGAAAGCTTGTTGGGAGGGGCTTTTTCCCTCAGGCACATATTTACCTTGATGATTATTATAATTTTCTTCTTTCTTTCTTTCTTTCTTTCTTTCTTTCTTTCTTTCTTTCTTTCTTCGTTGTTTTTTGGTTTATTTGTTTGTTTGGGGGAGTAGGCCACATCTGGCAGTGCTCATGGATTACTCATGGCTCTGCACTCAGGAATCACTCCTGGCATACTCGGGGGACCATGTGGGATGCCAGGGATTGAACCCAGGTCGACCATGTGCAAGGCAGGTGCCTTACCCACTGTGCTATCGTCACTCCAGTTCCTGTTTTTTAAATACTGTTTTTCAAGGAGAATAGATCAATAGAAAGTAAAGAGACTTTTTGAGCTGGATGGATCATAGAATTTCATTTTCTTTGATGTATATAAGTAGAGTTATTTTTAAATGATATAAAAGCAGAAATAAATCAAACCTTCTTGTTATTAGTGGAAAGTAGAGAATTTTGGGTAACTGTCAACTTTTTTTGTTTATACTGAGATTTTGTTCTTGTGGTTTGGGGCTACACCTGGTCTTGCTCAGGGCTTTCTCCTGACTGTGCTCAGGGGTCATTGCTGGTGGGATTCAGGGGACTATAAGGGATGTCATGTAGAGAACCTGGGTTTGACACTTACTTGCAAGGCAAGTGCCCCTACCTGCTGAACTTTTTCTCTCCAGACCCTAAACTGAGTTTTGAGAGGAGGAAAGTAACTACTTAGAGACATTCAACATACCTAGAACAGTAGTAGGTAAGGGGGAAAGGCAAACAGATAAGGAGGGAGAGTTTCTACAGTTGTAAAGATGCGGGGACCAGAGCTATAGTGCAGCAGGTAGGACATTCGCTTTTCATGCGGCTGACCTAGGTTCTATCCCAGGCACTTCATATGCACATGGTACCCTGAGCATTGCCAGGAGTGATCCCTGAGTGCAGAGCGAGAAATAAGCCCTGAGTACGTCAGGGTGTGTCCCCCCAAATTTAAAGATACCAGTTGTCAACTTCTTAATTTTACATTTTAATTAACATAACTTGTTAAATATTAGTTTTGGTGGAATTAGCAGGATGTGGAGATATATTGCTCAAAAGAGTTTGGTGCCCATACAAGTTTTGTGCCAAATATTAAGGTTCCTTTACTGGAACTTTTCAGGTATGGGAACTTAAGAAGTATGGATGTAAATGCACCTTAAGGAGAGGTAATAGAAAACAGTCTTACAAGTTTATTTAAACACTCCCCACCTTTTTTTTTTTTTTTTTGTGGAGGAAAGGAGGCAGAACTCCTGGGACTAGTGTTTGTTTTGTGGAACAGATTTATACTGTCTTAAATCTGTTAGAATTCATTGTTAGCTCAAAAGTAAACAGCAAATTGTTCTGTCTTTTTTGCATTAATTTTTTCCACTTTCTGAAAATTATTATTTTGTTGTTGTTGTTTTGGGGCAATACCCAGCAGTGCTCAGGGCTTATTCTTGACACTTGGCCACTCCTGGTGGCCTTGGGGAACCATGGGGTGCCGGAGATTGAACCCTGGTCTGTTGCAAGCTAGGTAAGAGGCTTGACAACTGTACTTTAGTTCCAGCCCCACTTTGCTAGTGTATAGTGCAGTTTCAGGGCTTTTTTGATATAAGGGATAACTTGCCCCCGTGCCCTGAGGACTTTTCTGTTTATCTTTGTGTATGTGTGTAGTGAGCCTCCCAAGTGGTGTTCCCACTGGCAGTTCAGCCAGCACGTCCTTTGTTTCAGTGCAAAACTCAAGGATGTGCTGCTGCTCCAGCTCTGCCGTGCCTGAGGACCATGTAGTGCCAGGAATAAAGTACAAGCACCCTTACCACGGTGCCATCTTCCACCCCCTTATCTTTCTTTTTAAGAATAAATATAGAGGAACTGGAGCATAGTGCAGCAGGTAGGCTATTTGCCTTGCATGTGGGTGACTAGGAGGCTGGAGTGATAGCAGAGCGGGTAGGGCATTTGCCTTGCACGCAGCCAACATGGCTGACCAAAGTTCGATTCCTCTGCCCCTCTCGGAGAGCCCAGCAAGCTACCGAGAGTATCTCGCCCGCACGGCAAAGCCTGGCAAGCTACCCATGCCGTATTTAATATGCCAAACACAGTAACAACCAAGTCTCACAATGGAGACGTTACTGGGCCCGCTTGAGAAAATTGATGGACAACGGGAGGACAGTGACAGTGGGTGACCAGGGTTGAATTCCCAGCAGTGTTGTCACCCGAACCCGCCAGGAGTGACCCCTGAGCACTACCAGGTATGCACTGCCTTTCTTCCCCCAAAAAAGATTATTTTTTAAAATGAGAAAATATTAATAATATTACTTCCTTTCCTATTTCCTATTCCCTGCCTTCCACCTGTTGTTTCAGGCAGCTATTTTGTAATTGAAATCTGGAGAGTCAGACTGTCATGACTCTAGGAAGTTCTTGGGGACAAGTTAGGGACCTGTTCAAAGGCAATTTTTAATAGTTAAGTCAGCTTAACCATGTCTGGGTTAACTGGATAGGGAAATGTCCTAGGATGTGACCTGACTATTCTAAGGGCATTCTTTATGGGCTTATAGAATTTTAAGATAAAAACTTTAAAAGATTTTAGACATTCATTAGCTGCATTTGCCCCAATGTAGCTCAATTTATTGACTCTTTTAATAAAAGCAACCAAAACTTCATTTTATAATTAAAATCAGTCTCATTTTCAACAATTTCTCATTGTGAGAGTTTATGTCCATCATTCACTTTGATGTTATAGTAATAATAATAGAAATAATAATTGTTTACAGGCCAGAGTAATAGTACAAATGGGTAGGACACTTGCATTATACATGGCTGACCCAGGTTTTACCCCAGGCACTGCATATGGTATCCCAAGACCTACCAGATGTGATCCCCGAGCACAGAGTCAGGAGTAAGCCTCGAGCACTGCCAGATGTGAACCCCCTCCCCACCCAAAAAAAGAAATAACAAAAAAAAGAAATAACAAATGTTTAGAAAAATATAAATTTAAGAAATATTTTGATCCTTTGATTACATATCATATCATTGATTTACTTTCAGATGAGGTTTTCTTCAGATTAATGAAAATTGGGAGTTTTCTATTAGGCAGCTTTATTTTATGCATGATTTTAAATTCCAAATAATAATAAAATTAAAATAATTTTTGAAGTCTCCTCTTAGGCATTTTCTACTAAGTTCTCACAGCTGAAGTAGATGCACATATAGGTCCTAAATATTATGAAATGTTAGAAATTAGAGAAATACTTTCTTCTAAGGAAAGAAAACAAGATGGAAATGAATTTCATAAGCTTTAGAGCTAAGCATTTTTTGGGGGATCCTTTCTAGTCATCTTTTTTGTGAGGTTTGTAATTTTTATTTTTAATTTAAAAAGGAAAACAGCCCACTAATAAGCCAGAGTAATGGTACAGTGAGTAGAGCACTTGCCTTGCATGTGGCCAACCCAGGTTTGATCCCTGATGCCCCATATGGTTCTCTGAGCCTCTCCAGGAGTGATCCCTGAGCACAGAGCCAGGTTTCAGCCCCTAACACCGTGGGTGTGACCCAAAACCTCGCCCCCAAAGGCCCCACCTTAAAATAGTATCATTATTCTTTAAAGTCAGTAGAATTTATACAAATGGGACCTGGGATTTTAAGTCATTTTTGTTTCTATTTTTCTAAAGTTCATTGGAAGCATTCTTATGATTCATGTTTTTATTTTTCTCTCATTCTTTATCATTATGATTGGAACCTCTTTTAATTTTATTTCTCACAGTTATTAGCATAACATGATCTGTTTCAGGATTGTCTTGGGGATCATCACAAAGAAGAACATATTAGAACATCTCGAGCAACTAAAGCAGCACGTCGAACCCTTGGTGATTAGATATATCAGATCTCCTCATTAGACACCTTAGAAGTCAGGAGGCATGAAACTTGTGAACTGTTCAGTTCTCTCTTTCTCAGATATCTGCTGAACAAACAAACAAAATTCTACATGCTGCCAATCACATTTGTATCTCATAAAATGTCTGTAAAATAAATTCAGATATGTATGAACTTCTATTCAAAGAAAGTAAGCAAAACTTAACATCTCATCAAAATCACTAGTTACAATAAAGGAACTGTAAACAGTTTGGTAGTCGAATGAGTAAATATTGGATATTCTTAAAGTGCCACAGCAGTCTGTCTACCTTAGCGGACACAACCGGTATCAGAAGCTGCCTGCCTGACAGGTTAAAAATGCTTGTCCCTTTACCCAAATCCTTTTTCTTCTTAATGTTCCCTTATTTTCATGGTTGTCAGATTGTAAATTTAAGCTCGTTAATAACTTTGGTTTGGGGGTCCACACTGGTGGTGCTCAGGGGTTAATCCCAGCAGGTTGCTTAAGGCACTCTTGGCAGTGCTGGGGGGACCATGAAGTGCTGGGAACCAAACCTGGGCCTCTCCCATACGAAGCATGTGCCCCAGCCTTTATAGCCATCTGCTGGCCTCATAAATGATTTTAACGGAGCTTATTAGCAATGTTAGAATTGCTGTTAAATAGACGTTTTCATGGGCACACTGATCATAGCATAATGTATGTATATTTGTGATCGTAGCTTTAGTCCTCGCTGCTATACCCTGCGTACCTTCAGAGTCAAGAATGAGCGTCCTGCCATTTCATCAGTGAATTGTACCTCTCATGTGTGTGCCCATTTTGTATGTGTTTCTGGGATATAAGCAACTTTTAGGGTCATCTGCATTTGTTTGCAGCGGTTTTATAGTTTCATAAATATACATTTTGAATGATTTTACCTTATGATCTAAAAATTGTCTGGCGCTAACAATTAATACCTGAAATTATTTTGCCCTGCAATTGTCATATCTGTATAAAACCTGTCCCAATTTGTTTTAAGTACACAACTGAGTGTATAGTCCGGTTGTATGCTTATATTTCACAAGTGTTTCATGCATCCTTAAAAAAAAGCCAACTACTACTAACCAGAATAATAAGTAGCTGCTCATTTTGCTTTCTGCTTCACCTATAAAAATCTTTTAGGACTGATTTTTTTATCTTTTAATGTAAAAATATTAACTACTAAGACTTTCATACAAGCACTATATCTTAACTTTTTTGGCTAAAGTCAAAAAAGGAAAACATTGATGACTGTACTAGAAATTTGTGGTTTCTTCTAGATTTATTCTGAAGTTTGGGATTGAAGTTCTGTGTTGACCATTTCATAGGCATTCAATTTTAATTGTATATGCTTTCTTGAAGATTCTGCATACAACTGGGAAATCCTTCAATTCTTTTTTCAAAGTTTATTTTCAGTTTAAAATAGTGGAATATTGAGTAGATTTTATCATCAGACATATTGCTGCTTTCTGATGTAAAGGGAACAAATTTTCTTTCTCAAATGGAACTGACACCATTTCTTGTTCATATGTCCTCCCCCATTCCATTCGTTTTTTGTTGGCATACATCATTCAAAATAACTACTTCAATGAGCCTAGACTCCTAAAAATCTCAGAAAGAACACTGTACTAGTAGTGACCATAATATATTTTTATATCAAAGAATGGTTGCTGGATAATTAAATTATCTTTAACAATAAAATGTTTTGAAAATATAAAATCAGGCTGCTTGCTTTGCTCTATTCCTATCAACAAAAAGGATTTAGCTATAGCTTTGGCCTTTCCACCCTTTTCCCTTTTATTTTAATAGAGTCTTCTGTTTATCCCTTTCAGACGCCTCCTTGGCATTATAACAAAAAAAGATATCCTCCGTCATATGGCCCAGACGGCAAACCAAGACCCCGCTTCAATAATGTTCAACTGAAGCCCATAGATGAGGAGAGAGAGGAAACAGAAGAGGAAGTTCATTTGTTGAATAACACAACTCTTTAACCTGAGGGAGTCGTCTGCTTTTTTTTCTCCTTAAAAAAAAAAAGGGAAATATAAAAGCCGGGCTTTTGCAACATGGTTTGCAAATAACGCTGGTGGAACGGAGGAATTGTTTTGGGGAGGGGAAAGGAGAGAGAAGGAAATGAGTGAGGGATTTCCCCGCCTAACTGTGAGCAGCAAATCTCCAACTGTTCTGCGCCGATGCTTTCAGCTGAGGATGGGCCTAATAGTGGACACCGGCCGCCGGCGCCCCGGAGCACCCAGTCTGTTACTCCATCGTTGCAAAGACACATTTTCAGTCCCTGTTTCTGGAGGGATTACTTTGAATTGAGCCATCTCTAAGACTGCAAGGTCTTGGCGCCCCCCCACCCCAACCCGTCCCTGTCCCCCTCCCCCCACCTCCCGCTCCTTTTTTTAAATCAAAACTTTTCAGTTTGATTCATGAATTAAAAGAGTTAAACATTACCGTATACATTCCAGAAGAGCTTCTCTGCCCCACTCCCCTCTCCCTGGCAGAAACAAAGCCTCTTTAAATCGATGTACCGTTGGAAGCAGTCCTTTCTCATATTGAGATGTACTGTGATTTTACTGAGGTTTCATCACAAGAAGGGAGTGTTTCTTGTGCCATTAATATTAACCATGTAGTTTGTTCCATCACTGAATGCTTGGAGCACTCATCACATGTGACTTGAAGGCTGCTCAGACAGGTAACATCTGGAATGACGTGTGAAATCTCTCAGCTTGTGTGCTGTGTGGTTCTGAGTCAACCACCATGACACTTGATTTATAAGGATAAAGTTTTCTTTTTTTTCCTTTTTTTTCCTCAGACTATGGATAATGTTGATCTGATCTTAAGCAAATTTTCTAGTCCTAAAACCACTATGATATATAAGTGCTGTTCAGCATAAGGAAATGATGCTGCTGCTTTGACAGAAAGAGAAAGAAGTATTCTGTTTAGCCGTGTCTGGTATTAACTGCATGTTTAAACACTGGAATTTTTTTTCTTGAAATTAGGTCAGTTTTTTTTTCCTTAAAATATCACTGCTGACACTGAAGAAGAAATGTAATTCATAACTTGCACTAAATGTATATTTCGTTTCTTAAAAATTTACCATTCTTATTTATATTTTTATGGATTAAAATTTATAAAATACAGATCAGTTAATATCGCATTTAAATAATTTTACCTTTTTAATGTGATTTTTATAGACTAATTCAGACTTAAAAAGATGGAGATAAGAAACAAAGTTTACAATGGAAACAAGGGTTTAAGAAGTTGTGCTTATTTCTCTATAATCTGGTGTGTACATAAACCTTTTACTTATCTTTCACTGCCATCCCCTGGATTGTGTCTTCTGACTTGTCCATTGGACCCATTAACTAGAAAGCTGACACACTCAACCACATTGCAGATTAAGTTACAAGTTGTAGAAAACATTAAAACAAACACAAACAATAAAATTGCATAGGATTTAATTACAATTTTAATTTTGAACGTAATTTTTGAATCTTTGGGTAGGTCATATCTACAGTGTTCAATTTACATTTTCAATTATTCACAATGCACATTTTTGCAGGATGATACCGAAATGTCCTGGGGGTTTTGTTTGGAATTTTTGTTTGGGAAATGTCTCTCTTATCATGGTTTTAATTCACTATCAGCAAAAGCAGTTTTCTCAAAGAATTGACCGAAAAATTCTGTGATAATGCATTTTTGGTAGGAAAACGAATTTTGCAGACTTTTTTTGAAACAACTGGTAATGAGCTGTTTTTACATTTTAAAAGTGATTCTTCTCTTCCTAGTTCTTAATAATATATCTGTAAGATTGTAAGGTCACATAAAATCTGTAAGGTCTTGATTTATAAGATCATGAAGCCATATTTGAACAATTGAAAGCTAAGCAAAGTTTTAGGAGTCTCAAGAAATATTCTTGGTTGTGCTATGTATCTAAAGTTAGACTTCCTCCCTTTGACTGACTTTGTTTTCTAATGGCCCCTTCAAAGTTAATTTGACCATCAGAGTGAAATAATTTCTAAATGATTATTCTGGACATACTAGTGCCAATGTGTTTTTGCAGTGTGCAAGGCCCTGTAAAAGCATGAACTCATTATTGGCTATGGAATTAGTTCAGTGCTTGGCCTGGATTATAAACCTTCAAAGGAGCAATCAGTCTCTTTACAGATTACTTTGAACATTAAAACTGATGTATATTTTATTTTCCATATTTCTTTTTAAAAAATTTTTAGGTCATCCTTTCCTTGCTGATATTTTAGGGTGGATGTTAATTTTTTTCTGAAGATGTTTCTGTCCTTCATTTTACTGCAGAAATACTGGGAAAGTGCCGTATTTCGAATGCAGTTTTCTTCTTTGGTTTTACAATCTGTCCCACTTTCACTTTTGATATGTTGAGGTATGTCCGCTTTTCAACCAAATGACGAAAATAGTGGAGGTTATAAAATAAGTGTGCCTGGGCTGATTGGCAAATTGGTTGGCCATTATTCTAAGTGGAGCGCCTTATTGGAGTACCCTTTTTTGAGAAGGTATGATGAGAATGGGCATGAGTGTCAGCATCTCTTATTAATCCTTGTTTTCAGTTTTGATTCATGAAGAATGCTTAGTTTGTTATAATCTGTGATGTTGCCTAGAGCTGTATTTATCTGTTTTTATTTATACTAGTGTAGTAAAGCTGCATTTCATTACAGTAAAAATGATTACTGTAATGAGTTTAATCAGAAAATCTATTAAAATCTATATGACAATGTGTGGTTTGTCCTTTGATTATAGCTGTAACATTTCTCCCAGTTTTCTGCTGCTCTGTGCAGTATAGACGAGTATGCCAACAGGTGCAGCCTCCCAGCAGGTGAGAAACACACTCTCTCAGGTTACCAGGCTGTTTCTATACTTTGTATGCAAGGAGCAACAACAGCAACAACAAAATAGATGCTGGATTGGACGGTGGGATCAACGTGCTCTTAGTATTATTGATCCCCATTTGCCAGTGAAAACTGCAGATCTGCAGAACGATTTTACTTCAGTTTACTTTCAGAAACATGTTTTAAACATAAAGTTTGTAAATGATTCTTTAAATTGCCTTATTCTTTAAAATTCCATGTTAAAAAATTGCCTTGGAAATTAGAACTGCCTAAAAGGATGGTAACAGTTGAATTGTTAAAAGATTTCAGTAGTCTTTTAATACCAAACTTTGACAAAAAAGCAAAACTGTTTACTACAAAGTCCAGGGTATATCTTTGTTCTTTTTTTTTTTTTTTAATCACTATTGAACATGAACTAAGTACCAGGTATTATTGTGTGTTATTGATACTTACACTTTAGTAAGGGGGGTGGAGGAAGAGAGGTCTGTCAGATAGTGAATATCATAAGTTCATTTTGCAAAATATTAATGGTTCCTATCTACTGTACACTGTTATAGGCATATATGAAACAGGCAAAAATTCCCATTCTAATAGAGAAAAATAAATGGAAGTAATAGAAAGGATACTAATTTAATAACATGATCAAGGGAAAGCTTCTGGGATAAGATTTCATGTGAGCAGAAACCCAAAGAAAGGAAGGAATGATACATTATCTGTGAGACGAATGTTCCAGCAGGAGGAAATACTATATGCATACATCCCAAGATAAGAGTACTCCTGGTTGATCAGATACAGAGTCCCATGTAAGTAGGCCACTGACCAGAGGATGGAAGGGAGAATAAGATGAACACAGTTGGGGTATGAAAATCTGGCTTTTATTTTTAGTAAAACAGCCAGTGAAGCTTTAAAGGTGACATGAACTAAGTCAGTTCAGTCAACATTTCTCTGGCAGCTGATTTCTTGGACATAGAGTACAAGAGGGTACAGAGAATGGCAGGAAGTTCATTAATGCTTTAAAATCTCCAGGTGGGTATGGCAGAGATTTGACCCTGTCTGAAGTTGGTGGAAGTATCTGAAGTAGTTGGATTTTGATGTCGGGGTCGCAGTTGGGGCTTTCCATATGATAGCCATATGCTCTGCCAGGCTTGGATTCTAGCTGTTTCAAAGGTGGATCAGTCAGGTTTTGCTAATGAACTGAGCGCGGTGTTAGGATTAAAGCATTCTTAAGAGAAGTTTGGTTGGAGAAAATGCAGAATAGGATGGCCCTTGAGTTGGGAAAGACTTCAAAAAAAAAAAGATTTGAGATGTGTACAAAGGAATTTTGGTTTTAAGACAGTTTAAATGGGTTAGTCAAATAGTCAGTTGCACATAGGGGACTAGAGTTCAGTCTTTGTTTTGTTTTGCGGGTGGGAGAAGCACAAGAAGTGCTCAGGGATCACTCCTGGTGGGATTCGTGAGACATGGATTGAAGCTGGCTTGGCCATCTGCAAGGCAAGCACCCTACCTGCTATATAATCGTTCAAGCTCTGAGACAAGCTCAGGACAAAGGTCCAGGCTGAGTTATCTAAATACATCTAATATCATCCCAGGTATTACCCTGGTGCAGGATGACATAACCTATATTCAACCTATAGTGAATTCAAGATTTTTTTTCAAGCAAGTACTTGCCTGTTGCATTTCTGGGGCAAAAAGTAGGTCACAATGGAAAAAGTTAAATCCCAGGACTACAGCATAAACGGAAGTTCAGAACATCAGAAATACCTATATAGATACTAGAATTCAAAAGGATTATCAGTAATTTGGACAGTTGATAATGAAGCCAGTGAAGTTTGAGCTAATGCAAGCTCATACATATAGCCATACAGACATAGCCCAAGGATATGCTTTTGTAGACAGAACCTATATTATTTTCTTGGATTATACCAGCATTTGAAAAAAAAATGGGTACATTATTCTACATGTTTTCATAGATTATAGAGGGGCCCAGTTACTAAGTTCCAGGAAGTAAATTTTAGCTACATTTGAGTTGGTGATGATTTCTGATAAAGTCTCATTGGGTCAGAGTGCTCTTCATGGCAGAGCTGAGGTACTTAAAATGTGCTCTTGAATGGTAGAGAGGAAGCCTATGAAATCTAATGGCAGAGTGTCCAGTTCACTGGGTTTCACTGGACATTAAAGGACATTAAAGAACAGTGTCCTTTAATGAAGAAAGGGAAGGAGGGCTTGATGTCCTCTAAGTGGGCTCTTTATGAAAAATGTTCATTTCTTGGCAGTCCAGAATATACTGAAACATTACTATATTAGCCTGTGACTCGGCTTGGTTTGAGTTTGAGGCTCAAAGTCCACCATTCTATTGTATTTTGGAGGACATAAGGCAGTGCTTAGGGGCTGGTCCTAATGTTTGGGGAACCATGTGATGGTGGGAACTGAGCACAGGCATCTTGCATAAAAAGCATGTGCTTAGCCATTTGAGCTCTCTCACTAGCTCAGAAATTAATGTTTCACATGACTTTTGGCACTTACTGGACTTACTGGAAGCCTCTTAAAACCATAATCAGTTATACCTTCCACTTAACATTTGTGTCCAAATCTATCTTGGCTTATACACCACACTTTCTGAAGATAACACAGTGTATTAGGTTTATGGAATGAATGAGAATCAGATCACAGGAAGAAAAAAAATAATCTTAAGAACTATTCACTTGATACTTGGGTTTAAAAAAAAATTGAAAAAGGATAGATAATTTAAAAAGAAATCTAGTATTTCTGGCCAAGCAGGTCTTTTTTTTTTTTTCTTTTTCTTTTTGGGTCACACCCAGCAATGCTCAGGGGTTACTCCTGGCTCTGTACTCAGGACATTCAGGAATTACTCCTCCTGGTGGTGCTTGGAGAACCATATGGTATGGTAGGGATCAAACTTTGATCAGCCGCATGCAAGGCAAAACACCCTACCTGCTATACTATTGCTCCGCTCCCCAGGTCATTTTAATATACTTGAGTAACTGAAAAGATACATGTGTTAACTATATTTAAATATTGCCTCCAATATTAAACACCTAGGGGGCCAATGACTCAGAGGATGGAGGCCCAGGCTTTGCATTCGGGAGGCATGAGTTCAAGCTCAAACAGTCCTGAGCATGGCTGGGAGCAGCCCGAACTCTGGTCAAGTGTGGTCCCCGCAAACAGAAAAATATACCTTAGAAATGAGAGAAGGCCGAAGAAGCAGCTCAGACGCTACAGAAATGTTAGATTATTTCAGACCAATGTGATTTGGAAGATACGAGCTATTTAATATTTTGTTATAAGCCAGATAAAAGTCCAGATACCTGCCTGCCTGTAGATACTGGTGTAATGAAAATTAACAGTTCCTGAAAGAACTATACTGCAATGAAAGGGAAGATGAAGATATTTTTAATTTGGCTATGATATAAAATGTCTCCTTTGAAAGCTGCCACCCAAGGCAGTGTGGGACATGGGAAGAAAAATAACAAATACAAGATGTAGGCCACAGCAGAGGGACTTTTTGACATCAGGAGACAGTCTGTTGTCTGAGATGAGTATGTTTTGGTGGTGGTGGGAATCAAACCCAGGGATTCACACATGCAAGGCAGATGCTCTACCCTGAGTCACATTCCCAGCCAGAGTATTTATTCATGGGTGTCTTAGCAAAATAGTGTCTCAGCTCTTGCTAAGTGTGATTTCATCCAGCACTCTGTGAGGAGTGTCTGATAGGTCATTTTAAAGGTTTTGTGTTTCTGCAGGAAAGTATCTACTCAAATATATGCCATTAAAAAGCTCACAACCTGCCTGGGGTGATGAGACATGCTGCTCATCAAACTTAAGTTCATGAACAGGTTTTTTAATAACAGATGCATACCTTATATCACAAAAAGTATCTCAAATCTGTTTAGTCAGACTGCTAACTTTGGAAACGTAAACTTTTTTTTGGGGGGGGACATTAAAAGACAATCTAACAAAATATATTAAAGATGATCCTGTTTAATGTAAGACTTTTTCTACCTTCATCTTCATAGGAAGGGCTAATTTACAAAAAGAGACAATCTAACAATTATTAAACCAGATGATCTGTTTTAATATAAGGTTCTTCTATCTTGATCTTCACAAAAGGTAAAGGTAAAGGCCCTCCCGTTGATCATCGATTTGCTCGAGCAGGCCCAGTAACGTCTCCATTGGAGACTTTGTTGTTACTGTGTTTGGCATATCGAATACATCACGGGGAGCCATTTTGCCTAATCAACAAACATTTTATGAAGGACTTTTGGCCAGCAGTTTTAAGGAGAAACTGAATCTGGTAGAACAGCTATCCACAGTCTAGTAGAAAATCTGGTAAGCTAATTTGCAATGATTGCTTTTAAATACAAATGAATGGCAGACTGATTTCTTATACTACTTCAAATCCTTTCTTGTATTTATTGGATACAGGTAAGTCAAAGCACGATTGTTTGTAAATCTAGACCTCCTGGGATAACTGGAGGGAAACATAAATACTAGGAGATGGCACTTAAAATTCATGCTCAGGCGGCCTGGGCTCTATGAGCCAGGAGGCTGGCTTCCGGGAGAACCAATCCTTCTGGCTACAATAACTCAAGCATCAGAAGAAGTGAATTCCTCATTGCCATGTGTGAAATACTGAAACAGAACTTCCTGGCCTGAGACAGTGACTTCCTGTGACATGTCATGTCAGAGGATGACTTTTGGCGGCCTTCCAAAATGTGACTTCTGCATCACCACTGAGAGGGCTGAGCTGACATTTACCTGGACATGAAAGAAAACTGGGCCAAAGGAGCTTTGTAGGAGTTTTTAGTAAATGTTTCTGATTTATTTTTTTTTATTTACTTAAAAACAAAACACATGTTTAATACGAA